TTAGGGTTTTAATAGTATGCGCCCCAGGGTCCGAGCAGCGACCGGCTACCCCGCCGGACGTACTTATGCGGTGCTGTCAAAGGCTGTCCCTGTGATTACAAGGTGGAACGATATCACCTTGCCGTCGACGCCTCCACTGAAGCTGTAGCAGCAGCTTCAGCGGGTTACCCCGACACCGCTGCCAGCTCCGCAGTTGTCGTACCCGTAAGGCCCAGATACTCCATATGCTTGGCGTTGGCTTCGTCGGCTGCGCAGGAAAAGAGCGGACAAAGGAGAGGGAGGGTTAGAAGTGCCAGGTCTTAATTAGATCGACCGGGTTAAGGCCGGGTTGCAAGGAAGAGCCACGAGAGGGTATACGACGAAGCCAACGCCACGGCGATTGAAGAAAAGAATATACCAGAGATAGACGGATGCTCCAAGACTATTCAGTGTTGCTCCCTCTTGCACATGTTGATGCGAGAGGAAGAGAAAGCATCAAAAACTCCAGTGCCGACCCACAAAAAGGTGTTCAAAGCACCCACAAATAGCCGATGTCGGCTGCCGGGAGCGACAGGATGAAGGGGAGGAGTTACTGTTTGACGTGACGAGCGTGACAAGCAGTCTCTCCCCTCCTCCCTCCCCCCCAACGTATCCCCCAAGCACCCACCACCAAACCGCACACGCGCCCCCACCTCGTGTGTCCATGAGGGCCATCCACAGCGGCGGCACGAACACGGCCAGAGCCAGAAGATTCACCGGCCCAGGGAAGCACGGGCCGCAGACCGCCCCTCCGGGGGGTGCGGGGGGCGGCCGCAACACGCGGTAGCTGTGCCGGTAGTGACAAACAAATGGGCCGATGGGTTGGGGGCCGGGCCGGGCCCGGGGCCGGGCGGTATGCAAGGACGGGTGCAAAAGGCATGACGGGTAGGTGTGTGAGTGGGTGTATTACAGTGGGCTGCAGGGCGCGGCGGGTGTGTGTGCTAAGGATGTATCGGTCAGCTATTGGATAGGTGTATCTGTGGTTGGGTATAGCTTACGCCGCAAAGGTAGGATAGATCGTGGGGCAGGGGGGTTTGCAGCCCCATGCGCCGTCCATGCGCATGGGCCTTGCAGGCAGGTTCCAGACGAACAGCGCCGCGTGGCTGTGGCTGCGGCTGTGTCTGCGGCTGTGTCTGCGGCTGTGTCTGCGGCTGTGTCTGCGGCTGTGTCTGCGTCTGCGGCTGTGTCTGCGGCTGTGGCTGCGGCTGTGGCTGCGGCCCACCCAGCCACGTGCACATGCACGGGTGCGGTCGGCCGGTCGGCCCTGGGGTGCCCACATTGGCACGCCTGGGCAAGGCCCCCGCACAGACACTTCCCCTTTTTCTGTACGCCATTACCCCCCTTCCGTCACAAACACGAGGTGTGACCCGTCCACCCCCCTTTACCTCTTCACACCGTGCAGGTGGTGGTCGGAGTGGAGGAGTACGTTAAACAACACGCCGTTCTGTTTGTTGGGGGGGAGAGGTGATGGGGCGAGGTAACTACGTTTTGCAGAAGCACATAAATGTTTGCCGACCTGCCAACGCCGGTGTGTGCGCGTATGTATGTGTGTTGGAGTGCGTGTGTTGTGTGCGTGTATGTGAACGTTACAAGTATCTGACCGGGCCTGATAACACCGGCCTGGGACTGCCGCCCAGCCCCAACGGAAAGACCGCCTAAGCTCTCTCCCGCGGACGGGAGAGGGGCGCGAGGGGGCCTCTGCTCCCCCCCTAAGCAGCCGAGAGCCGCAGGCCGCTAGTTCCGCTCTCTCATCCGGGGGTGGGAGGCGTCGCACGCACGCACGCTCTCACGAGTCAAGGTTCCGTCACGCGAGTTTGCGCACTGAGCCAATTTGTGTGCGTGTGTGTTTTTGTATGCGTGTGTGTGCGCGTAGGGAATTTAGCGGGCGGCAGCCCAGGATTCGGGATGTTGCAGCAGAAATCGACTGTACTGAAAGCTCTGTACGGCAGAGCTTTTCGCCGCCATCTTGCCGCCCCACCTCCAAAAAGAAAACAAAACTGGCCCCACACTATTCTCACTGTCATCCCCTTCTGCGTTACCTCCAGTGCATACAGCGAGTTCCAGCTTGTGTACGGCGTGATGGGTGTGTAGCGGCGTGAATTGCCCGGCATCGGCTGCCGTACAAGGCCGTAATGTAGAATGTAGTCAAAGACCGCCATGTAGACCAGCAGGATGAAATTAGAGGTCAGGTGTACGGCGATGGCTACTGGACCAAAAATGCCGTACATGGCGACCGTCAGTGCCGCCTGGGCCACAAGCCCCACCAGCGTACTGCAGGAGGAGAAAAATTACGTTGCACGCGGTACGGCCCCGGATTTTCCAAGAATATCAAGGCGAGTGCTTGATTAGGCTATGGTTGCACCTTTCACCGGTATCCCATGATACTGCCGATGACCGGCGATGCCCCGATTGGTGATGCGCCTGTCCTAGTAACGAGCCTCCAACCAGTTAGAATTGTCGCTACCAATATATTCAGCACAGACAGGCCAAATTATATCAAATTATAAATTATAACTGATAAATTTGTTGACCATAACAAAGAAAACCGCAAATGCAATCAGCATATAAAAGATTAATACATGCCACGCTACCTGCACTATAACTTCATGCTTTATTCTCGGCGACCAAATTGGACACATCGCCATTAAGACTCCTGTAACCATCATGGTTTGATGAACAACTACAATAACCACAAGGCTTGGATGTGTGTCGCGTGCTGCCCACCATCACCACCATAACCACCACCACCATCACCACACAGTCGTCCATATCGCCCCCACATCGGGGCGGCCGTATTTCTACCCGTTCTGGCGTCTTTCTGTCTTCCTACACTTCACCACGTGTACACCTCCAAAACTCCGGCTATTTCTTTTCCTACTACTACTACTACTACTACTACTACTACTACTGCTGCTGCTACTACTGCTACTACTGCTACTACTGCTACTACTGCTGCTACTACTACTGCTACTACTGCTGCTGCTGCACCAGTACTGCTACTACTACTTCATCTACTGGGATATTACTTGTTTTCGGACTTATTTCTTCCACCTGCATGGCGTGCTTCCCGCGGCTCATCAGTCTAATCAATAAACACACAGTCATACAGCCATTATAACACACAGCCACGCACACCTTGCGCTATATATACACACACATATACATACACACACTCACTCACTCGCCTGTTATGGGGGCTGAATTTCGACTTGCCTGCCCGGTTGCACTCCTGAACCGCCAGATGCCAGGCCTGCGGCAGCGGGTAGGTGGCGGGTAGGTGGCGGGTAGGTGGCGGTAGGTGGCGGGTAGGTGGCGGGTAGGTGGCGGGTAGGTGGCGGGTAGGTGGCGGGTAGGTGGCGGGTAAGTGGCGGTTAGGTGGCGGGTAGGTGGCGGGTAGGTGGCGGGTAAGTGGCGGGTAGGTGGCGGGGTAGGTAGCGGGTAGGGGGAAAGACGAACCACGAACGAGTGAAGCTGCTGCCAGGTCAAGAGTGTACCAGACGCAGAACTGACCAAAAGGCGTTCTTGAAGGCGGCGACCTCGGGATGACGTAGCGGGTAGGGGGTACGAGGAAAGAAGGCGAGGCGGGAAGCACAACCAACAAAATGCAAAATGCGTTACCCTCCACCCGCACTTCCCTCTGTCCTTCCCCCCATCCCCGGCGGCACAGAACCCCTCGGGCTCACCTCCTTGTAGCTGCCGGCGTAGTACGGCAAAAAGAACGAATAGAAGTCTTGGCCTTTGGGGGCGCATGTGTAGTCGGGGGGGGTGCAGACGTGCAGGTGGTGCTGCAGATGGGCCCTGTGGGTTTCGGGGTAAATATTGGGGTTTCGGAGAGGGCTAGCTGGCTGGCTTTGAAACGGTTTTGTTCCCGGAGAAAATTTGAAAGAGGGTGGGAATAGGCACACCCTGGTTTCGGAGCGAATGGTTTTGGAGCGAGTAAAGAGCGGGCGGGGTTCCGACGAGAACAGCACTGTACGTCAGCTTGTCGCAGTATAGGCATCTACCGCTCAACGGGACCTTACGTACGCCGTACATATGCCGTACCTGTAGTACGGGTACCACCAGTACAGCGCAAGGAACATCCACGCCGTCGCCAGGTGCACAGGGTTGCGGCTGTGGATGAGCTCGTGACTCGCCGCCATGGCGACGGAGGCGCTGGTCGCCAAGGTGTACGACAACAGCAGTAGCAGAAGCGGCTGCAGCGGCACCGTCGCGACGGTGGCGGCGGCGGCCATGGCAACCGCCAAGTGGGCCAGCACGGCCAGGGTGGGCACCAAGCGCGCAGCGAGATCATCAACGGCCGGCACCTGCTTTCAAAACCCCGCCACCGCAAAACACACGTGCGTCAGATGCCGTACATTGAATCCTTTGTGTTACCCTACTCACCTTGTCATGGCCTTGTGGCGCATAGGGGTGAGTGCTTACATGGGCAGTAGTGGTTAACATGGTGGGTAGGTACGGAAAAGAGTGTACGACATGTTGGCAGGAAATGCAGCCCCGGCGGTGGTCCCCGACTGTGTGTACGTGTACATGCAACCACTAGGACTTAACGCCGTGCCCATGCTGCAGGTCCTTCAGTCCTTGCCATTGTCCTTCACCCCTCCGAACCGGAGCACTGGGCGCTGGATGAGCAGCGGGGATGGCGGGGATGGCGGGGGGAGTTGGGAGCGCAGGGTTGCGGTGCCATGGCGGACGGGGAACAAGGACTGGAACTCAACCAATGGCGGGAAAGAAGAGAGGAGGAGTGGGGGAGCTAGAGGGGAGGTGGTGCGGAGACTTGGTATGGAGGTGTCGTGGACGGATGCAAGCGGGGGTGGATGGAGAGGGGAGCTTTCTTACTTTGGTTGTGGAAGGAAGCGGATCCTGGCGCTGCTCTCCAAGGAGCCCATCCAGCGCCGGAATGACGCAATGGAGCAGGAGGGGCCCCGATCCGATAATGAGGAGCCGCAACCACGCGAAGTTTGGGTCGATTGCAAAGGACTACCGTATGCAGTGTAGCATAAGGAATGAAGGGACGGGAAAGGGTCGCGCGAGATGTTGCTTTTTGTATTTGTCGTGGCAAAGTAGAGCGACTACAGGGAAATGCTGGAGGTTGCGCTGGTGAGAAGCTTCGGGAATTTCGGCATAAGGGCACCTTTTTCCCGGTGTTACAGAGAATCCCTTACAAAAGGCTACATCGCAAGTAGATGCCAAAATTGCCGCAGGCAAGCCTACTAAAAAATATTCGGTGTCAGAAGGCTCAGCGCTTTCAAACCTTTAGCTTTCAGATCTTCCGCTTTCAAACCTTTGTCGTATGGATTACCTAGCCCCAGGCGCGTGCACGCAATATTTGACCTTACCCCAGTACAGCTTGCGGTAGCAGCCGCTGCAGCAGTTGGCAGAATAAACGGCACAATCCAATGAAGGGCAGTGCTTTGCGCCAAGGAGCCAGCCTTGCTAGGCGGAAGCGCAGCGCTGGATGGCCCCGACACCTCGAGACACCGGACAATAGACACAGGGAATTTCCTAGATATCGGATCGCGTTTCAAGTATAAAGCGCAACGGTATGTGCGCGAGCTATGCAACCTTGGACAATTTAAAGCTTGCCGTTGAAGGCGCAATTGATAGGACGACATATTGAACGACTTTAGGCTTGAAAGAAGAACAAGGACAGACTTTGAGACGACGCTAGGTTAGGCTAGTCGAACTGTTGCAAAGTAACAAAACCCAAATGCGACCTGCATTAAGGGAGGAGCTTTGACACCTTTTCATATAGGTCCTATCACATATATCTATTCATCTGACATGGAGTGATAGGTAACCTGATTTTCACGTTTGAGACAGTGCTCGGGCCGAAACCTGTACTGCAAAACCTCGGGAAACCTCCGGTAACTGTCGGAAACCTCGAAATGCTGCAATTTGTTATGTCTATGCATGGCAAACGTCGTAAATGGGCCTTACGCGCCGGCTTAGATACCCCCTCAGATAGCTCTCAGGTCTCGTGATCACCCGACTGCCACCTAGCCAAAGGTCACACAGGCCTAGAGTTAGATCCTTTGTGACCTATATGTTTTTTGCTTGCAAGGGTTACAACTTGTATTCATGGGAGGGGGCTACAGAGGTATAGCGAGGTGTCACAGCATCTAAGGGTTTGCTGATTGGACTGTTCTGGGATAAGTGATTCGGGGGTTGTGGTCCAGCCATCAACTGAGGTGCCTGGTCTCCGCTATTCTGACATCATAAGTATGAAACTAAGCAGGGTTAAATACCATGCGTATGCTTTGAAAACAGATTCCGCGTACCGCGCTTGCCGAAAAGGCCGGTAACTAGTTTCAGTCTTTCCGGTGTTCCCGGACCTCTTTGCCGAAAACACGGAAACAGGTTTCGCAGAGTATCCGTTTCGGCCCGAGCACTTGTTTAAGAAGAGCACAAGCAGTTGATGGCCGTACGTTCTACCACCTTTCATTGTTAAATGCACAGTAATACTCAAACTCCCACCCACGCGGCCAGGAGAAGTCTTCATTTCGGACAACAGAGACATGCAGATTCAAAATGAGGATTTAATTGGGGTCTCAGCGTAGTCACGCCAGATTTTTAGCCTAGCCGGCCGCCTGGAGTCCCTGGACGGCAATGGGGTGGCAGGGTGTTCGGCCTCGACTTTTGAGGTTCTGCCGTTTTTGTGTTCTCCTTGCCCTTCTTGCGTGTTCCGGCTGCAATGGGCCGCATGACAGCTTGTTAAAAGCAAGGCGGCCGAGAACTTGGTGCACGTCGCGAGAAGGTTGTTCGGTGTGCCATCAATGCAAACGGTGCCTGTGTATAGTGGAAGGTGCAGCCCTGCGGCGGCACCTAAGGGCGAGCCTGGACACCGCGCAGTCGGTGGGGAGGGGTCGCAGCAACCCTGAGCACGGTGTGATGGTCACGAGCCGTGACCCGCACATGCAGAGGAACGCCCGCGGTCGTCATACTCTAACTTCTAGCCCTGCCCCGGGGGTACCGCCCGCAGGGCCGTTCCTGCTGCTGTCGCCAATATCTAGTGAAACACTACGCCCCGCGTATGCAGCCCCACGACCACGGCGCCCCCGTCCACCATTGTTCTGGAAAGGGCCCACCACTGCGACCCCTGTGCTCCTTCTCTGCAAGGTATTTGAGGGAGACCTTCTGCCGGGCACGGGCAAATTCGTCATCCTAATCGTGAAGAACACTGTCTGCAACCGAACGATCGCCGTCGCAAAGTAGTCGCAAAGTAGTGCCGGTGCAAAGCTACTAGGCCGTCTCTGCCTCGCATCGAAAACTCAATGAGGCAGTTAATGCGTGCGGAAATGAGCGCTTGCATCCAAGACACATCATAGCGCAAGGTGCGGTAGGTGTTTAACATCAACCCTGCCCAGCTCTGCTGCAGTCCCATGTGCGCCTCAGCCCGGATGAGCGTGTCTAGACCCGTAGCGAGCAAATCACTGATTGACAAAACGGCCATCAAGATGCTCGTAAAGCAACGAACCGGCACGGTCCGGATGGCCCCGCTGCGCCTGCTCCAAATCACGCCACTCTGGGAAGGATTTAAAGTTTAGCAGGACCAAATTGCTGACCCCTATGTCGACCGGCAATTCCGCAAGCACGCGTCTAGGGAAGGGGAAACGGGCCGTCTCCGAACACTGTTGGGTACGCGGGTCTTGAAATATCGGGACAAATACTCATCTCTGTAGCCCCGGGCTGCACACCTTGATTGCTCAGCTGGTTTGACAGCGCCGCAACTCCATCGCATGTACGCCGCTAGCAGCGGCCATCAGAACCAGAATCAGCTCCCGTAGGCTCATTGTTCAGGATCTATAGTGTGGTGTTTTTAAACCTAACACTCAACCCGATGGGTATTGCCGATTAGCCGTAAGCACAGCCGTCTAAATATCAGACAGCGCGCCGGATGGCGCGGGACCTGCTTTGTTGTTCAGCGAGAGATATTTCAATTGCCATTTCTGTTACAGAAATGCTGTGCTTACGGCTAGTAGGCAAGATCCATCGGGTTGAGTGTTAGATTTAAAAACACCACACTATAGATCCAGAACAATGAGCCTACGGAGCTGATTCTAGTTCTGATGGCCGCTGCTAGCGGCGTACATGCGATGGAGCCGAGCATCCCGGCAGGAGCGAGCAACTACACGAATCCTTTCGAATTATCTCGACCCGAAACCCCCGCTGGACAGTTCCAGCCAGATGCCGGCGTACACGTCGGCGATTTGGGCATCCCGTAGATGGCGGGAACCGGAGTATCCTTCCCGGCCGGCGGAACAGCGCTGCACCCCACTAAGCTGGAGCAGCAAACGGCCGGCATTGTCCAGTTATAGCACCAAGTTGTGGCGCTGTCAAACCAGGTGAGCAATCAAGGTGCGCAGCCCGGGGTTATAGATTTGAGTATCTTGTCCCGATATTATTAAGACCCGCGAATTGCCATTGCCATATCTTTTACAGAAATCTGTGTTATGGAGGCCGAAGCTGAAGTGAAAGGCCTCACGAACCAAAGATAAGCTAACACGTGGGTGACGCACAGGGACGGGTGGACGGGAGCGAGCTGATCAACCAAAGCAAGATGTGGAACTTAACTCAAGCAAGATGTGGAATCGAACCCAAGCGCGCTGTTTATACGGCCCTGAGGACACGGGCCGTGGCGAAGCACCGAGAAGCTTGCCCAAGGGCCTTACGCCAACTAACGCAAGCCTGCATTAACTCGAACCCCCTTGGTAATCGCTTCACAGGTTTGGGTAGGCTGTTTTGGATTTAAAACTTATGGAAATACCTTCCAATGACGGTGACATGCAGAGTTGGATGAAAGATATCATGATCACATCAGCAGGCAGACGAGCTGAAAGTGTTTCGGAGGAATGGCAAGACGAAGACCTTCGTTCCGCCAGCATTTCCGCTGCGCTTGCCAGTCGATGCGACGTGGGAAGGGAGCTGCTAGATATTTGCAAAGCCGATGAGGAGGGTCTTGGTGTAGATGCCTCCGCCACCGACCCTGGCACGGCAGCCAACGATCCCGCGCGTCGAGTTGTCGTGCCCTGCGTTCCTGGTGAAGTCTCTACGCAAGGCCTGGCAACCCTAGATGCCTGGGCCATGCAAGAGGCGGTCGCACAAGCCACTGTCCAGCCCAAAAGTGCATGGCTTCCCAGTTTCCTCTATCAAAACACCCCAACTCTTGTGGCAGCCGCATGCGCTGCAGACTTCCTTGGTTGCCGGGCCTTCCTGGATCTTATGGTGGATGTACAGCTGCTGCGGGTCGCATTGATGGATACCGAGCAACTCAATGCTGCCATGAGCCAGGACCCCACAGCAGCGACAAGTTGGCCTGTGCCCGCGCTTTCATCCCTCAAGCAGGCACGTTGTCTCAATTCACCGTGTTCCTGTCCCAAAATTTTCGGCTTGCACTAGGTTGCCATTTTAGGCCCAACCTCGTTATGTTTCCCTCAAGATGCTGTCGACACTGCACGGCCCCCATGCTGCATATCTAAACCTAGCCGCCTGGTCCATATTATTATCCATTATCCATATTGTATGTGAGAAGTTCCACCACGAAGTTCACAACGAAGCTCCGGAACCAGTTCCACAACCAAAGAACACTATTAGCCTCATGCAACTGCAGTGGCATCTCAGACGGCTCTCGGTGGTGAGCATTCCAGCAATCGAAAATCTATTATCCGTTGCGACACACCCGTTGCGGACGCGGTGTTCTTTCTGTACGCGGGTGGTGTATGCTCCCTTTCCAGCACATCTTCCACATGCACTCCGAAACTTGTCACCCTAGTCGAACATCGCCGTTAGCGCGCTGCTTGTACCCATCTTTGTTCTCTGCATGCTCTACTACGGCGCGCATCTCGCGAATTTTACGCACCTCCCCTCCGGTCCTCTGTCCCCACTCCTGTCCTCTGAAACCAACATCCTCGACACTCAGGCCGACTTTTGCCAGCTACCTTGCCTTCGACCCACCAAGACATGTACGCCGGAGCTAGACGGCGCCAAGCCTTCAGGATCAGGCGCAGCCACTCCTCCGCCTCCGCTGGAATCATCGCAACTATCATCATCAGCAGCAGCAGGAGCAGCAACGGGTGAAGCAGCAACAGCGGCGGCAACAGCACCCGAGAGTCGTGGCGGCGGTGATGTGGCAGAGCGAGTGCGCGGCGGTGATGGCGGCGGCGGCGGCGGTTTGCCGCTACGGTTCGTAACGCCGCAACAGATGGAGACGCTGGTAGCCAGGCTGAAGGCCGATCGCGACTTGATGTGCTTCCTGAACGCTCAGCCAACCGATATCCGGTGGGTGGTTGGCAGTTGGGTGGTTGGGTAGGGTTTCAGGGCTTTGGGTTGGCTGGGTGCGTGTAAAGGTGAGGGTCATTGCGGGAGATGGGAGAGGAAGCGCGGCTGTGTAGGATGGGCGGGATGGAAAGTACTAGGAAGGTACGTGTCGCGTCACCTCTTTCCATTTCATATGTCAGTTCAATTAACACACATACACATGCACATACACACACGCGCGCGCACCCTCGTCTTCTCGGGAGACTTAGCCAATATATGTAAGGACACGCGTGCCTGGTTGTCACCTTTCCATCACTTGAACATGGTTCGAATGCCCTAAACTCTGTAGGAAAGGCTTGTACCGCCTGGGGCTCGAGACCGCCCTCGTTGTACGGAAAGCACGGGAGGCACGTGCTATGGATAACAGCGTGCCGTACCTGCGGCTGCAGTTAGCAATGCCGGACGTGCCGGGTTACGGAGCAACTGCACCACATTACGAGGTAACACATAACCGGGAAGGATGCTCTTTTAACTTGGCGTGAATGAGGCAGCGGGACTTGAATGGTCTGTACGTGCGCATATGAGTGCGTGCCTGTGTGCGCATATGCGTTTTACTTGGGGCGAGCCCGATACTTAAAATCGGAGAAGGAATCCAGATTAAACATATGAATAGATTGCAAAGAGAACGATGTTTTAGAGCATCATAAAAATTCACAGCTAAACAGCTTGCTACACCTACCCTTTCGCCGGGCCGGGGGCCCCCATGGGACACGAAATGGCAGTTAGCCTAATTGAGGGAGGCCTAACAGGTTCTGTGGACATTTGAAATTGTTTAAAGCAGTAGAGCAGAGGGACGCGCCTCCAGGCGAGATGGGTGGGCCAGATGGGTGAGCCAGCGGGTCATGTAAAGGGGCGTCGTCATAGGAAGTGTGTAAACTCTGCGCAGTAAATCATAGCCTACGCAGTTGACACCTCCCATGTACACTTGCTCGTCCCTGCCTCGTAATGAAATACGTACTGCTCGTCCCAGGTGGTTGCTGTGACGGTTAGCGTCGAGGCGCACGATCAGGTACGTGACGAGGTCCTCGAAATGGTGGTGGTAATGTGTGTGTGTGCGGGTGGGGGTGCGGGTGGGGGTGGGGGTGGGGACGAGGGTGCTGGTCGACCGGGGAACAACACTCGGGTCACACCGAACCAGATGCGGGCTTGCATTTGTCCATGAAGTACACGCCGACGCAATCCTGAGAAATGGGCGACATGTTCAGCTGAAGCCATTGCTACTGCCGCCGGGTCGCACCAGTACTCCATGCTGCTGCTGCTGCTGCTGCTGCTGCAGGGCTGGAGCAGCTACCCGGAGGACTTCAACACGTACCGTAATTCCTGGACGTGGGGGGAGCTGGTGCTTGTGGGCGAGGATGGCAAGCCCGTGCACCCCGATGACCCAGATCGACTGTACACCAACCTGCACGCGATAAGCGAATGGCAGCAGCACACCAAGGTATTGGGGCCTGACAGCCAGCTGGTGAGACGTTTGAATGCAAAGGTGTTTGGCATGGCGGCACAACCGACGGTGGCGGCAGCGGTGGTACCGGCACCGGCGGCAGCAGCAGCGGCGGCGGCAGCAGCGGTGGACCAGAACGTGGCGGATGGTGTGCAGGGGTGCTACAGCCTGGTGTTGCTGATATGCGCGCGCTTTCCTGGCTGGAGGCATTTTGTGCGTCGTGCGGACCTGGCGGTGCATCTAAGGCCGGTGGGGATGGGGCCTGAGGGTTGCGGCGGTAGCTGGGGAGTGAAGGCTGCGGCGGGGGGAGGGGAGGGGGAGCAGGAGTTTTGGATGGCGCGGCATAAGGATCTGATGATGCACAACGGTACGGCAGTTGGTAATTAAAAAGCTCAGATTCTAGGGTTTTAGTTTTCCTTCTTGCGAGGAAAGTACTCAGGAAAATTACCAAAGGGTTATGGCCTGCTCCTTTTATGTAGGTTTTTAATCCCTCGTATTTTGTGGCAGGCATGGGCTTGGGATGGCCTTCGGTATTTGTTTTTGTTAGGTAGGTCAGATTGCCAAAGCCCGGAAAATGTGTCCCTGGGCTCCCTGCATCAATTCCTAGTCTCAGCTTAAAAAGGTGGTAAAATAACGAATAAGGAAGGTAAGTAGTCGTACAGGAAATGCATGGGGATCGGTTCCGGAGCGTGCTGATCATGTTTGGATGATCTATTTTTCCCTCCAAACACCGATCTAGTTGTTGTTGGATAACATAGCCTTCCCGCGGTCCCGAATCTCGACCTGGATGCATCTGCCATATTTTTGGTGTTCTGTGTAGCCATCGTCTCGGCTCAGCGAATGGCGCATGTATTAGGCTTCGCTCTCCGGCTTGAAGCCAAGGCGGTGCAATACTTCCAGTTTCTGTCTGGCTTGAAGTCTGCTGCTGGAAAGAAGTGGTGCTACGACGGATGCTATGGCCGCCGGCAGGCGGCGAACTAGATGGATCTTTGCATTATGTATGTAATTTATGTGTTGTATGTGCTCACGGTGAAGCTGCTGAGGAAATGAGATCTGTACTTGTTGCGGCGATACGTGCTTGAGACTGGACTCTGTATGCGCCATGACTTCTGCAAGCTCTGTTACAACAGGAAAACCCCTACATGAAGCTCTGCCTGAACTGGGAATTGCTGACTGACCTGGCGACTGGCCGTGTGGAATATAACCTTTTCTTCTTCAAAAAATTGTGTATGTGTGTGTGTGTGTGTCGGTGCGCACATCAGGCTCAAGTAAACTCCCTGCTTGTAACGCCCGAGCGTTCATCGCTTCCTCCGAAACGCTCCGTAGATAGTAAAGGAAGGCAGGAGAAGTACGTCGGGTAGCTAGTACGGCAGGCAGCTTGTACGAAGGCTCGGATGTGACCTTAAGAGGACAGGGAGCGGTGGCCTCCAGTACAGGGATGGCCTAAGTTCCACATCCGGCATTTAATAATTAAACACCAGCAGTCAAGAGATATTAAGCAGTTGGCGGTATAACGGCACAGCCCCTGGCCGGACCCTGCGACGTACACGGTCGTCTTAGCCGGGCGTAGGTCGAGGCCGTATTATCGGTCGGGCCCAATATGGGAAGGAGGGAACTCAATAGTATTAATCTTTGCCATCTAGTAATCCGGACGCTATTGGTCTCAAATCGCTATTCCCAACTCCATGTATTGGGGACGGGGCGGAAACAAGGCCATGTGGGCACCTCGTCCGGGGCCGCGTTGACCTGTCTTTGCCACGCCCTTACGCAACCTGCCACCACCCTCCGGGATGATGCTGGAAACGTTCCGTGTTGGGAACAACTTCTGGACCATGCACGTCCCGACAAGCCGCATCCTTGCTTGCATTACATCCTCCACACAACCGCGAGCTCCTCAGTTTCAACAAAAGACGACCTTTGGGATGTCGTACTGGTTACGCCGTTCAACATTGTGCGTCATCTTGGAATGATACGGCTCCAAGGGCTCATATCTTCTGCCGTACATGTTCAACCAGCGATGCAAGATAATGGATCTCAGGTGTCTCTGCTTCATTTTTGGAGTTCGCCCAAATTTGGATTGTGCTTTTACAATGCCAACGCATCGTAAAGGCATTGATGACTTGTTACGTTCAGCGAATTGACAGCTGACCCTACCCGACCCGTATATAACACGTATCTAGATTTATGTCATGGTGACTTCTATTTAATACAGTGCGTTTTTCCTGTCTGGCGTAGCTCCTAGCAGCTCAGATTACGGTCGTCCAAATTCGAAGCGCCGCTTGCATAGTTACCTTCCTGTTGCCCTAACGGCCATCAAGGTGTAGCTTTTCTGATGAGCATCCTTAAGCTTTCAACTGCAGCTGTGGCTGAGCCGTTAGATGCGTCCTTCCGCCGCGGCCACAACGGTGATGCCAGCTCCAAGTCGCAGAGGAAGCCAGTGGGAGTAGTCACTTCCCAACTCACGCAACTTCAAGCACGATGCCTTATCGCAGCTTGTGCTTTCTGGGCTGTCGCTTCAGCATTTGCCCTACCTTCCTTGCTCGTCTTCGGGCTGCTCCTGATTCCTATGTGGGTCACAGCAGAAATGGCTTTCCTCGTATGGTGGTGCATCCTCTACCAGCGGCTGAACGCGCAGCCTGTACCCCACCGACCCCCCCCACACGTCAATCCTCGTGAGGTCTTTGACCGCTTTATCCGCGACCAGTCATCGATGTGTCGATACATAGACATACTGCAAATGATCTCCACGTGGCACTGGAATGTGCCCATTTCCGAGCTGAGCCGGGAAAACGTTGCTGACCTGTGAGTAACACGATGCGCGGCGGCTGCATCATACCTTGGTATCTTCGCCACCCTGAACAGCCGCACTTACAGGGGGCACGGGCCATGCGCCTTGGGTGATGGATAATGCATTGGGTACTGAGGCAGTGCTGAGGAGGATTAGCTTTGAGAGCATTACTAGGCCTTACATCCTGAGAAGGAGAAACCCGACATAGCATAAGCCTCTCACTGTGAGCGCCTGCCCGGCTGCTACACGGTTGCATCTAGGTCCTTCGTGCCACTGCCTTCTCCCCATCTTCCCGCGGCGCACACGCCCACGTACCAATAAACAAATTGGCAAAGGAAGAAACCCGCGTTAGATCCTCGCCTCCATAGCTTTCCCATCCCGTTTCTGCCTGCCTCTCAATCCTGCACCGACACTCACATGCCTAACACCAAATATACCCGTCCTCAACATTTCTCACATTTATACCTTCCTGTGAAACTCCTCTTCACCCAACCCTCACCTCTTAACCCGCCGTCATCATGCGCAGTCTCTGCTACGGCTTCTACTACCGTTCCAGAGAGCAGATGGCGGATGAGGGCATGGGCCACGTGCCGGAACAGTTGGTTTCAGAGCTGGAAGTCGCGTGGGGCGTGAAGTTCGCGCCAGGGGTTGGGCAGGAAGGCGGAGAAGGGAAGCCATATGTGCGGCGGCGTATCATGACCCATCTGTGGGAGCCGGTGCGCTGCTTCTACCGGCCATTGGCGTTCTACGCGGGAGTGGAGGTGCTGATAGCGCTGAAGCACGTTATGCTGCTGGCGGCGGGGTTCCGGGCGCACATGTACCAGGGTGAGGAAGGAGGGGCTACAGAGGGTGTGAGGGAACAGCCGGGAGGTTGATCTGCAGGAAGGTGAGGACGTAGGGGTATGAGAGCGGGAACATATGCAAAAAGGGCATTAATACCCCCTTCGCTCCCCCCTATAAAAATCGGACATTCTCCACATTCTCCACATATATATATATATATATATATATATATATATATATATATATATATATATATATATATATATATGAAAGATTATGGGGCAAGAAGAGAGGTGGAGGTGGAGAATGTTCCATGTCCGATGAAGGGGGGCCATTCTTACAGGGGCCCTCCAGGTGGTTCTCTCAGCTGGCATCCGTGTCATCACTTGTAGCCCTTGTCCGAATCTATAGCGCTAGCGCCGAGGTAGCGGCGCCACCCTTAGCCAACCAGCGTCATCAAGGCGGTAACCCCCAAGTCCGCACCAAGTCCATCGTTGCGTCAGGATCAGTTGGTTGTCCACAACAAGCCTGACACCATATTTGCCTTCTTTATTTCACCACTCTCGCATGACATTATCTAGATGCCACCCTCACCTACATTCCTGCCAAGTCAACTGGACACCTGTTCAGAAACAACTTGTCCTGAGTCCCATGCCCCGTCATCCAAATCCCTTTGTTATGCCGTCGCATTTGCCTCCCTTTGCCTTCCCTTAGGCATGCTCTACTACACCTACGGCCTGCCTGCTACCGCCGCTGCAGCGGCGGTGCAGCAGCAAGGCCACTCCCTGATCCGCTCCGAAACCCCCACCGTCCGCACCGCTGCGTCGGACGTTAAGGCACCCATCCTGTTCCTGCACGGCGTGGGTCTGGGCCTTTTACCGTACTTAAATTTCCTGCTGCGACTTTCCTCCCTGGAGCGGCCCGTGGTGGCGGTGGAAGTACGGCATCTATCCATGCGCGTGTGCGTGAATGTGCCTGAGGAAGACGAGGTCGTGGCATGCATCGCCGGCGCATTGGCCCGCCACAGTGTGAAGCAGGTGCATGTGGTGGCGCACTCATACGGCACCTTCATGGCATCCCGTCTGGTGCAGCTGCACCGGCCCATGGTGGCGAGCCTGACCCTGCTGGACCCGGTAAGGCTATTGCGGCAGGTGGCCATGGCCGCACTGGCGGAGACGGCCAATGACTTGCTGGGTATTTGCGGCATTGCGGTGTGTGTATGTGTATGTGTTCGGGCCACCGGTAATGGAGTCTTAAAAACTGCCGTGGTGTCCCCCGGTATCCCACTTTTCCCTAATCCCCTAGCCATGCCCCTGTCCCCGAGTCTTGGGTTCGCCGGGTCCTTCCCCCCGCCCCGGCTTAGACCTGGTCTTAGCTCTTTCACGCATCCTGGGTATGCATCGTCGCACTGTACATCACAACACATCGCATTAAGCCACACAAACATTCTTTCTTACATGCAACTCCGTGTCACGTTCTCGTCGCAGGTCTGCTTCATCATGTGAGTTTCGTTGGGCCGAGCTGCTGGAGCGCGGCTTCGTGGCGTGTGGGGAACCTGGGGCCGGGAGGGACGGGGAAAGGCGGCGGAAAGGAGGAAGGGGAAGAAGGCAGCGGGAAGGAAGGAGCACCGACCCGCCTGAAAAGAAGCAGCTTTTGTTCCTGAATTTGCAACTTACCCTAAAAATCTCGATAATGGTGGTAATGACCATGGTGATTATGCTAATGGCAATGGTTCTTCCTCCTGCAATTGTTCCCCCGTACCTTCCCCTTTTGTCCGCTGATCTTTTCCTGTGCCACTGGACCCTCCTATCTTCCTCCCATCTTCCTCTCCTGCTCAAACAGGTTCTCCGGCAAGCTCATCTACAACTTCGTGTACCGCAACCCGCTGGAGGGCGCCTCCTCCCTCACCTGGTTCATCGCGCGCGACCTGGCACATGCCGTGTCGGTCAGTCGCCGCTTCTACTGGTCGCTGCTCAACCTGTGGCCTGACCAGCTGCCGCAGCACACGCTGGTTGCGTTGTCCGCGCAGGACGAGCTCGTACCGGTGCCGGTAGGAAGGGCGGGGACGTGAATGCGGAGGGGTCCGGGGCAGAGGGGTTGCATGGGGTGCCCGAGGAGGGGCGGGCGGAAGGTAAGGTCGGTGCGGGGACGGGAAGGAAGCTCGTTTTGCTACTGCTTGTGCGACCGCATTTACTGGCCCAGATCCTAACAGTGCTTTAGTGCAAAACTCGTGCGTGCGAATTGTCCTGTCCCTTGCAGGAGGTACTCACCATGCTGAAGGAACGCCCTGAGGTGCGGGTGCGGGTGCACGACGGCCATCGCCACGCAGACTTCATCAAAGACCTGCCGGAGCAGGCCAGGATGGTGCAGATGGTGGCGGAGCTCGTGGATGCCGCCACTAACACCGCCAGCCCTGACACCGCCACAGCAGTGGTGAGAACAACGACAAACACGAACACGACGGTGGTGGTCACGGCGGCGGCGGCCACACCGAGCCGCGTTGATGCAATGGACTCGGCCTCGGACCTGGCCGCCTCTGCAGCTGCGATGGTGCGCGGGGGACCTGCCCCCATCGTCCTCCGCGGGAACGGACACCGGGAGAAGCCGGTGCGTTCGCAGCAACCGCAGATGCAGCCGCAGACGTCCTCCCACGTCCGCAGTGACAGCGCAAGCTCCTACGAGGCGGGCAGTGTGCTGAGCGGCCCCGGCAGGGGGTGCCAGGATTGGAAGAAGAGCGCGGCATGAGGGAGGAAAGGCAATGGTGGTAGTTGCCATGGCGAGGCGGTGTGGTGGGGAATGCGGAGCGGGGCTGGGAAAGTGTGCGAAGGGTGCGGGCGTGTGTCGCTTCCTTTTTGATTGACTCCCGACTACTGAAAGGTCTTTGCGGTGTTGCGCCGAGGAGGGAGCTGCGCAGTCCTTTAGGGCCATGGCGGCTGACCAACCGCAGGAGCAGCAGCACCAGCAGTAGCAGCAGAAGCACCAGCGGTTGCAGCGGAAACAAGCGCAGGACCGACATCTGGTAGGGACCAAATTTTGAAATATTATATATTATTATATTGCGATGACCTGAGACTTGAGAGAGGCGAGGAGCTACGTAACTGTGATTTTAGGTTCACGCAATATATGTGCGAATAGCCCTGTGTGATGATGAATTGTTGAATGGGTTCTTAACTTGCTGCGTTCGATGTACTACTCTGCTAGTATGGCGGCGACCGCTGCCATTCTCAGCTTCTTCGCTCAGCACTGATCAATACTGTGAACGAAGACCGGCGGGTGGGTTAGCAGGACTGTTGCAGGTATAGCAGGTATAGAGGCTTGCATGTACAGCGATTAGGTTGGGTGCTTGGGAGATATGTCGGGTGGCATGCCGCAGCGAATCCAGCGCTGACAGAGGCCTAATGGGAACCGGTTGTTGCCCTTACTGCTGGGTAATCTGAGTGTCAGTTGCGAGGTCGCGAGCGGCATGGCTGCATAGGGGGCCCCCGATAGGGTTGTGAGCGATGATCCAGCCGTCGGCAGCGCGACAACATCTGCCAGGTGGGGTGCCTGTTCAGGGAGAGCGAGGGTAAGAGGGACAGTGCGTCCAGTGTCCAGTGGACTGAAAGTGATGCAATTCCGCGGTGCGTGTGAGAGCTGTGGGAAATCTCGTAGTGAGGGCGTGACGAAAGCTGCTATCCTGGCTTGAGGCTGATGCAGTGCGGTGACAGGGTATGGCGTTTGGGCATTGAGAGTCCATGCTTGAAATGTTCTATGACAGCAGGAGCAAGGAGTGTGGCAGCTTGAGTAGCTCTGGTAGTAGAGCTCTTAAAAGGCGACTGTTCTGTGGCTCCCACGCAGACACATCTTGTTCAGCAGAAGAGTCTGTTCTTGGCTTGTAGCGCTTCCGCGGGGGGCAACTTGAAGTTGGTACGAACGAGTGGGGTTTTCAAAGTTAACGTTGTCGCTAAGCTGTTGCTCCGCTGACTTTCATGAAGTTCGGCCAGTTGTCCTGGTTGGTATGTGTCGTACAATACACGGACGGCGACGCGGTTGAGTACGTAACGTGTTTTATATTGCCCAGAGGGATGGCTTCCATGAGAGTGGGTAACACTATTAATGTGTGGCCACTGATGCTTGTACGAGCGCGAACTATGTCTCGAACGACACAGTCCAGGCCAGGACAGTGCACATAGGTTGAGAATGTCCGTAATCTCCTTTTCCTTATATGAAACATGTCAAAAGTACTTTTTTTAATTGGCGTGTATTGTCGCGAAAGGATTCGTCAGCTTGGATCTAGCTGCATGGGCGTCGTTAGCATGGAATATCGATAGTTTTGAACATTACGTTGCTAGATAGATATGTTGGTGAGGACGCATAACTAGGGTTGGGCATTTCGTTGCCAACAAAGCAGCTGAGACTGCAATTTTTTCCGTTCTAATCTAATTTCTAATTAGATTCTAATTAGAAATTAGGATCTAATATTAGAAGAAGCTCGACAACTTTTCAGGGAGGGGTCCGTTGAACCTGAAATTTTGTATAGGCCATCACAGATGTAAACGCACGCATTTCCAATTAAATTTACTCCGGTCGGGTGCCTGGGGAGGGTACCTACCAGCCAAACCCACGCCAGACTTGCTACGGAAACAACCAAGAACGCCGCCAAACCTGTCCTTTTAAGTCCCTACTTGCACAGAATCACCACATAACTGCCGGGGGAGTGTTTGCTCGCTAAGGGGAATGACACACGCAACCCCTTCCCCAGCCTCGCACTCCTTCTCGATCTGGGTGACTAGCTCAGCATGCGCCTCATCCAACATCGTCGTGGCAAGCTTTTTTCGATTGGGAAGCGTGATACCCACAGCGGTGCACGCGGTGACGAGGTAGTGGTTTTCGATAAGGTGAAGGGCGGTGTTGGTGGTGTAGAAGAAGAGCGCCAGGTTTTTCAGAAACACGCCGATTTGTATAGTGTTGGCGAGAAAGGAGCGGATGGAGCCGCCATCCGCAGAGCGCGAGCGCTTCAGACCAGACATGTCGGACTCCTCCTCACCGTCCTCGGCACCGGAAAGCTGCAACGCTTCTGCGGCGTTTGATGCAGCCCTCTCATGCCTCTTGAGGTGTAAAGGCGCAGTCGCGGTTGGGTTTTTGGCGCCAAGCAGGGCGCCACAGGTGAGGCACTTCAGCTTAACGACGCCGTCGATCAGCAGAACGTTGAAAGAAGTCCAATAAGCTGCAAGACCCTTCTTCTTTGCGGAGATCAGAGCTTCTGCATACGCTTTTGCATCAAGTTCCTTGTTGCCATACTTGTACATTGGCCCTGATGCTTCCGCCTTCCGATGAGGAAGGGGTGGCTTTGATGGCCCCGCACCTCTATCTGACATTTTCGTGTAAAATGCACGTAGTGAACCGCTGATGCGCCTTAAAGCTACGGCTTTCCGGCCGTTCTAATGTCCGTACGACATTAGGATGTTCTAATACGTTCTAAACGGGGTCTTCTAAAATTCTAATTAGTTTCTAATTATATTTATTCTAATATTAGTTCTAATGTTCTAATGCCGGCACAACCCTACGCATAACAGTAACAATATGCTGCAATGCCACCCATTCTGCATCCGCCTTGGTGCCGCATGTCGCACAACAAACGACAGCAAAAGATACCTGCAGTACCCGAGAGTGATGCGGTAGCATAGAAATAATCCTCTATCCTACCCATCTCTGCTCACCCTGCCGCTTAACAGCCCCTTGAGCTCGGTGTTTGGCCTTCCAATCCCCTCTCAGAAACAGTGCTTGGAGGGTGGCTTGTAGTTCGTGCCCTTCTGTCAATAGGGGAAATGACGGAAGCCATTCCGGAGTGCTGGCGGTACGGAGGGGCGCCGGGAAGGTCTGCCAAGGGACCCGCCCCGGAAGCCTTCCCCGCTCCACTACCAGTGCCCCCTACGGACCCACAGTCCACTACATACATACATACACACGGTATCAGTGCTATGAAAAAGAATAATGCACAATTTTCCCTTTCAAGGCGACACATACCACATACAAACGCAGATCGATGTTGTTCGATGAGAAACATCACACCCTGCAAAACAAACACAACTGTCGTCCTCAATACCTGTTGGCACCAACCATCCTGTCGTAACGATAGCAGTTTTGCATAGCGGCATCACCCACGGTCTAACATATTCCCCAAACAGGTCGTCAAGGGTCCCCCACTGGCCCGGGGCTTCCCCGCCGACTACTTCTTCTTGCTGCCCTTAGTCTTGGCCTTCTTGACGTGCTTGGGAATCTTGCTCTTCCGCTTCTCCCGGTTTGCCTCCTTCACGGCCTTCTTATGCGCCTTACGCGCGGCACGCTCAGCATCCTTGTCGCCTCCTCCACGCCCGCCACAGCTCCCCTCCTCATCTGTGCCTTCTGCACCATCGCCATCATCATCATCATCATCATCGTCAGTGCCCCCCGCACTCTCGTCCCCACCAGCTGCACCCTCGACATCCCCAGACTCCCCGTCCTTGCCTCCATGCCTGACGACGCTCCCAGGCGACCCCTCCTCTCGGGCAGCTATGCAAGGCGGTCCCTCATTAACAGCCTCCATCAACCTACATTCCGCACCCGCACTTGCCGCCTCACAGTGCACCGCCGCCGCCCCGACACTGCCCTGGCCCTCACGCTGACCTCCTCCATGTCGTTCCTGCGGCTCTTCTCGCGGGACCTCGGCTGTCGAAACGTCCTGCTGGGTTGCCGATGCCGCCGTCGCCTCCAGCACCGCCGGCTGGGCACGCGCTCCGGAACCATCCATCTTCATTCCGGTAATGGTGGTGTAATAAATACCTTCCGTGTCCTTGCCTCCTCGTTGCAGTCTCTCATGGTCTCGCTCAAAGTTAACAACCTCCTCCAGCCGCCGCGGTATGAAGGCCTGATGGAACACCGCCTCTTCAACCTCGTCCTCGGGAGCCGCATTGAAGGGCCGGCTGGGGCCCGGTGGCGGTGGCAGTGGCACAAAACAAGGAGTAACATAAATAGCTAGCTAGCAAGACACCTCAATAGATACATGGATTTGGATTTAAGCGCATAGATGGTTGGGCTAAACAAATGTGACATGCAAGGTATTTGCACGGGGGAAGCGTACAAAGGGCGCAGGTAGGGAGGCGCATACGCAGGAAGATGGCTGCGGTGGCTTGCTGGGTGACAGCTGATAGGGGGAGTGTGTGTGTGTGTGTGTGTGCACGCGTGCACGTGCGTTTGTAGCGTCGAGTACACTAGAATTGGTTATACACGGGCCGCAAGCCGGCCGGCATTGAAACGTGGGAAAGGATACGGTGATTATGCTGGGAAGACGCTTAGGGAGCTGCTAAAGACAGGTGAACATATTAGTCGAGAGGTCTATTGCTACAAGACGACGATCCATGATAAGCAAAATAATCAAGGGAGAATCAGAGGCTACATTTCCATGTACTATCCGGGTGCTTTGTAGCGCGCAGACGGATGGGAATCAAGTACCGCCTCGCGCGTCGCAAGCACCAAGATGAAATCATCGCTGTCGCCGCAACTTCGAAGGCCACCGTCATATGTAAAAATTCAGGCAGCCCAGATACGTACGGCATTTAATCCGCCACGCCAAGTAGTAAATGCCGGATCGCCATCACGGCAAGTATTGGCCCAACAGGGCTTTCCTTACAACACCTCGCTCGCACTGGCACCTGCATTGCTGGCCCCAGCTGGGTCAAAAGCCTTTCCCGCCCCTCACCTCGCCGCCAGTTCCCTGAGCCTCTCCAGCGCTGCATCCATGTTGTTGTCGTCAATGGCCGGATCCACGACGAAGTCAAACGTCTCCCGAACCGTCAATGTGGCGACACCAGCTCGACGGAAGTAGTCGTTCACGTGCTTGCAGTCCTCACGAAGGAAGTCCAGCGCCTTGGGGTGGTCCAGATCCACCGCCTGGCTCACGTCAATAATGTACAGCTCGCCCTGTTGTTGTTGATGATGATGGTGTTGATGTCAAATCATGTAGGCGACGCCCCGTAGAGGGAAATAAATGGAACGAAGGACGGGCGGACGAACGGATGGGACATTTGTTTAGGTAGGAAAGATTTCCGTAGCAAGTTTAAGCCTGCATCGGCGCCATGAAGGTCATCGCAAGTACGCAGTCCTATCGACCGCCGATCTCAGCCATTTCCATGCGGCATTCTCTCTTGGTCACATGCAAGTAGGTGTCGACAAGCGCAGGGCGCTGACACACTCTTAACTACGGAAGCCACCCCTAAATGTCACATGCGCGTGATGCAACGCTGTTTTGGCGCTTTGTAGTGCGCAGGTGGATAAGCAAGAAAGCGCCACCTCACACGTCGCAAACTCCAAAAGTAAACCTCGTCGAGGGTTCAACTTTGCTGTTGCCGCAACTTCGAAGGCCGCCGTCATATGTAAGATTCAGACAGCCCAGATACGTACGGCAATTCGAACACGTGCGAGATAAAACATAACGTCTGCGTATCGCACAAAAAGGCCACACACACACCTCTGCTAACGCGCGGTTCGTTCAGTGACTGACGTTGACTTTCATAAGGGATTAATTGGAGGAGCCGTAGCAGGTCAGGTAACTCGCTCCGGTTCTGTCATTTCCACAACCTCCCGGATTATCCCCGCCGCCATACCTCATTTCAACAGAACCCCAGTCCCAAACCCCCAACTGACAACCGTCCTAACCACCTCCGTTTCTCTAAATCTAAAAGCCCCGCTCTGGGTCTCACACTAACGCGATACCTAAAACCCTAGCTCCTCCTCAAACATGGCTTTACGTGACTTACCACCAAAACCAATCACCCCACGCACGCACCTTATGGTACAATATATTATATTCGGATAGATCCGCATGGACCAACCGACACTTCTGGTACAGGTTTCGAAGCACCACCAGCATCTCTGTATATGCCGTACGGAGCCGCTGCAGCGGCAGCCCAGCGTCCCGCAGTCGCGGCGCGGCGACGCCATCCTCTCCAATGAACTCCATCACCAACACATGCAGCCGCAGCTGCAGCGGCTGTGGCGAGTTAATACCGGCTGCTCGCAGCCGCATAAGGTTGCGCATCTCCTTCTCCGCCCACATCTTGACCATTTTACGGGGATTGGAACGGCAGTAACCGTTACGGAAGCGGTAGTCGCCGGAAACGTACCTGCGGAACACGGAGTGTCATATTATTCACAGTCACACTCTCGCCAGCCGTTCATGCCAGGAAACGCTCGTTCCAGACGCCACACACACATACACACAAAAATCAAAGCAAAAGCTGCAGCAGCAGCAACTTACCATCACTGGGAGCGACTCAATCCTAACCCTAATCCTTTTAATCCAAAAAACCCCTCAAACCTCCGTAATAAAATTCAGCAAAGCGCCGTTGACCCCTCTGGTCCTATTGCTGCTGTCAACATTCACTGGTATTGTGTGTATGAGTGTCGGTCTCTTCTTTTCTTCTGAATCATGCATTAATTCTACTTGTTACTTCATACGAGTTAGGTGAGCTTCGAAGTAATGTGAAATGTACTTTCCAACACCCACCCTAGGGAAAAAACTCCTGGAGGGAACCCCCTCCCTCTCATCCCGCTCTCTTACCGGTCCCTATCCTTGAACACCAGAATCGAGGTCTTGTAGATCTTGATCGCAAGGTCTACCCCATCCGCTCCGCTGGCGTGATACACGTTTGCTTCCTTGCCCGTAGACACGCAGCCGTTGATCTCCGTGAAGAGCCCGCGATTGAGCATCTTGAAGAGAACCTTCGCGAACGAAAGAGCGGGCGAGGTGGTCAAGGGAGGCGGAAAAGACGACCGAACCACAGACGAGTGGAGCTGGTACCAGGGATAGACTCAGGCCTGGACAGATACTCCAGGAATAGACGGCTACTGCATCATGTGGGGAGGAGCCCGAGCGAATCGTGGTGGTCTGGATATACGAGGTTAATGATAGCAGGGATAAGAATGCGTTGCGCGAGAGGAAAAGAAATGGCAGTGCGCCGCACCCGACCGAGATCGAGCGCAAGGCGGTAGATGCAGCTGTGCAGCTGGGAAGGCTGTACAGGAGATGAATTGGCGCACGAGTGCCGTACATGGCTCCGAAACCTAGCAAAACGTACCATGCGTGTTCGTGGATCGATGGCCTGCTCCACCGTCGCTCGGTCACTTTTGTCCTTGGAGGCAATCCGCGCAGCGCCCTCGCGAAGCGCGGTCGCCCGCATGACGTTGGCGACGGAGGTGGACACGCGCGCCGACACACCGTCAAGAGCATCCAGCGGATCGTCCAGTACGGCACCTGCGGCGTTGCCACCGCCGCCAGCTACCATTCGGCCGCCGTGAAAGTGTCTGTCGAGGCGCTGTCGACGATAGGGAGGCGCAAAGACGCGCACGCATACAGGGAGAAGAGGAAAACAAGTGACATTATGTACGACATTAGGCCTTGCTAAGGCTCTTGAATGAAGATTTTTTCATATCGTAAGAGACATGCGTGAAAGATACGAGCAGCACAAGCGAGATGCATTTCAGCTAAGCAGCACAGAAAGGATGGCTGTGCGACACAAGGAAACGCAGGCAGGGGAAGCAGGAGAAGTGATGACAGATCAAAAATCTGGTGCCGCTAAGCCCTCCGAACATGGACCATAAGTGGTCTCGGAAGTAGCACAGAAGCGACCCCATACACCAACTATGATTTTTTTGAGACACGTCCTCAGGCTTGAGCTCAAGGAAAGTAGAAGAAACTTTTGGCGCTAAAACACCCAAAATATTTTCTAGCTTTAATGATATACCTTTAATTATCCGATGAATGGAACATCAAAGGAAAACAAGGTAGCAAGAGGACTGGGCATAAGGGACAAGCAGCAATGCAGGTCGGACAACGACGTGCCCTTCCGCGCCCAGTCCCTGGGCAGCCAGTGATCTGCCATGCTAGGAAACCACTTCGCTCTTGAATGCCCATCCTATAAGTTCGCCTTCCAGCAGAACCAGTCGAGTTACAAGCGGCTAAGGTTTCCTCGCACGGCAGCTACGGTTACCTGCATATTGGCCGTCCTGGGCTGCAAGGCCGCTTGTCGGTTGGCGACCCCGCCGGCAGTGTTGGGTCCTCTGAGGAGACCTGACGTGAAGTTAAATCCGGAATTCCCCCGATTCAATAGATCTGCGGGGTGGCGGGAACGCGGGCGTGTTAGGTGAGAGTCGGCTGGACGTGCGCCAGCAGCCGCGGCTACTACAATTCAGATCAGCACAAGCTTCGACCCAAATATCCGTTTCGTCAACGGAGCATGGTCCATGTGGACAAGGTCTAGGCTTGAAGTTGCGGACGCCATCCCTGGCCTCACCATCCCTGGCCTCACCATCGCGCATGTCCGCCCATTCCAGAGCATCAACCAGCTCCTCCTCGCTTCCCATGTCTTCTTCCTCCTCCCCGAAGTCATCGCCTTCATCATTATCGACAGCGATGGCAGAGGCTGTGTCCGGGACTATGTTCTGGGCGCCGACAGGTTCGACAAGCGGCGGCGGAGCGGTAGCCTGATGGATGTCGTTCACATCATCGTCATCGTCATCGGCATATCGCTCTTGCAATAGCGCAAACGGAATTTCTTCCGTTAACGTGGTAGCCATGCTCAACGTTTAGTTTGTTACACAAGGGAGTAACTTGTCCCGCCGCCCCATGATTGCATTTTATCAATTATGCTTCAGCGGCCTGTAGGCCCTTAACCTGGAAGCTAACTGCAAAAGAAGGAAAATACCAGGTCGGGCCTTATCTTATGCCGTATTGGCTCCAAATTGCGTCCACGGTCTGAGTCCTGCGGCGCCAACCTGATTTCTCGATTAGTTAGGCTTGTAGTGATTTGCCAGGCTTTTTCTTGTTGTACGCCATTACGATGGCGGCCCTCCGAGCTTCCCTCAGCCACGAGCTGCTCCGGCCAGTGGCCGGCCCAGCCCGCACCGTGGCCGCTTTCCGCCCAGCTGTCCGCCCCGTCCGCATTGTAAGGATACCTTTTACAAGATTAGAATCCATTGGCTTAAAGAGAGTTTCAGCTCATACGGCGGCGACATTCCTGCAGGCCCAACCTGTCTCACGCAAGGCGACCACCGTCGTATGCAGCGCTGTCGCAGACGCCCCGGCTGCAGTGGCCGAGCCTGTTCTTGGCGAGGCTAAGTCCGGTGTGGCTCACCTGCGGTTCCAGCGCGGTTCTGCCGATAAGGTGCGGCGATTTGCTATAATAAGAATACAACTTTGTATTTCATAGGCGGATTTCGCATTATCGGCTGGCTTGCAGATCCGTCGTGTGCTGGACGTCATTCGTGGCCGGTCATATGAAGAGGCTTTGGTGCTCTGCGAGTACATGCCCTACCGTGCTTGCGAGAAGATCATCAAGTGCCTGATGTCGGTAGGTGGCGCGTCCTTTATCACAGCAAGGTCTCCCGGGTCGTCGTTAAGCATGGCCTGCCGCACGCGCATTACTCTTGACCCGCAGGCAGCAGCTAACGCCAAGCACAACAAGGGGGCATTGAAGACGAAGCTTTACGTCAGTGAATGCTTTGCGGATGAGGGTCCTCGCCTGAAGCGCGCTCGCCCGCGGGCTCAGGGCCGGTAAGCCCCTTTATCGTTTCCTTGTGTGCTGCGCGGAGGTGGTAGGGGTTCAGGACGGGGCGTGCAGCACCTGCAAACCCCTCACCCCACCCAAACTATTTCGTTACATCCCAGCCCATGTCCTTCGAAGCAATATCTGTCGGCACTACCCCTTCATGTTTCCCTGAGCCCTCGGGTGCCTTTATTGAAACCATCTTCAAACCACCTTCTTGACTCCAAAGACTATAAACGACGCGAACTATTTTATGCAGTGCCAACCTCATCCTCAAGCCGACCTTCCACATGACGATCAAGGTTGAGGAGCGGCAGTGAGCGCTCTGAAGCAGTTGTCTCACGTATCTCACGATGCCAAGCTGGTAGCTGAGCTGGAAAGTAACTGTCGAGGAGAAAGGCAAACGGAAGCTCTGGCGGCAATCGGGGCACTCTGTGACGAAGAGCATGGGACAGAGGGGGCTCAGCTCAGGCCAAGGCATGATGAATCGCAGCGGCGCGAAAGTGCTGAAGCCGCTTTGAAGTCCCCGTTGTCAACCAAAGTCAGTGCACCTTTTAGTTAACTTGGATGCGAGGTAGTGCATCTGGGTTCGGAGTGGAGTATCCGAGGAGCGGATGTGTCTTGTCCGTAATGTGATAACGACCGCCTTTGTGGAGGGGCCTCGGTCGTGATGTGGGGCATACCTGGGTTTTCCGTTGCAAAGACGCTCGGTGGGCTGTATAACTTCAAAAGACGGCTCTCGCATCTCTTTTCCGTTTTTGCTCCCCAGCAACGACGTGACGGCTGCACTTTCGGGGGAATGGTGATGGCTCTTTTTTGTTCGTCGGTCTCGGCCGATGCTAGGGGCATATATGCCTGTGACAGTCAGCGACCGGTTGGCCGGACCGCATGGAAAACGCACTTCAGTCACGGGGCCGGTACGCCCAACCCCAGCAAATTTTCGGGCGGGCGCGTGGTCCTAGAGGCGGCGAGGTGTCGGTGTGTCGTGCGCAAATGCTGGAATGTCCTGTCAGGGCACCTGCCAGCCGATGCGTGATTTGACTTGGTGGGTTGCGGATGACCCGCATGACATAGTACCGCAACCGGGGGCTGAGGGACAGGTGTTGGTTTCCGGTTGGGTCTCCCTTGTGTGAGAAAGAGTTCCATACCCGGAAAGCGGCGGCCTAGAGCTGCTGGTGTAGGCTGTATTGGGCATTGGAAATGAGGAAACCCTTTCTGGTCGCGTCTGGGAAATGTAGGGCTGGCTTGCTAAGGGAGAGAACAGACTTTGTAGTTTCAAGCTGTAAGAACAATTGCAAGGTCCATACGGTATTGCTTAGCATGTCCTTTGGGTTCTGTTCTTGACATTCGGTGCTTGTGTGAACCAGATCTGGGGTTCTTGGATGCACGATATTGTCCTACACTAGCTTTGGTGCTCCTTGTGGCACCCGCTCTTTACCTTCGGCGATTGAGCGGTGACGTTCAACCGGGTGGCAGGGCGAGGGTTAGTATTTGCCCACAGGCGAAGCGAAAGAAGCGAACACCGGTATGAGTAGTTAAGAGTTAGATTAGACGACATAACAATGGAACGGTGTCAGCAAACGGTGTGCCTTGTGAACCCCAAACACTAGTATAGTGACACTTAAATGCCTGGCCCTAGCACCTCACCTGGGTAGATTACATGCGGACCGCCTACCGCTGACTCTATTTCTGGAGTTGTGGCGGTGTTAGTCCCGTCATGATGCAATATCGTTAAACCGATGCCAATGTTACAGTTTCGGCTGGAGCATGAACATATTCTTCAGAGCCGGATCGTAATCCATGAACGATTTTACAAGTACGACAGATTATATTGAACACTTATTGAAGAACAATATCCACTTTTTCGATGCATTTGCTGCTTCTTTTGGCAAGTCAAAAAAGGTGAAGCATCGCGCCCATATATATGCATGTATAGCAAAAAACAAAAGTGCCGAAGACGACATCCAATTCAGTATATAGTGTCCCTAGGGATTGTCCTGAGCTCATCGACGTCTATCTTACCAGAGGCTGTAGACCCCGAGTCTATGAGCCGAACCGCACAATCATTCTCTGGCGGGATGGCGGGGAGAGTGAGGTACGAGCTGGCACTGACAGACTTACTGACGGGGAGAGGGGCAGTGTCCAACCAAGGCCACCAAACCACACCCGTGGTAACCGTCGCTGCCATGCCGCACGTCCAAGTCCATATACATAACGCCAAAAAAACCTCAAAACGATCATTGTCACACACACACACATATACATACACACACACACTACCCCTGACATAACTTCGTTGATACCGTTGGTCCGTGGGGGAATCGCCTTCGGCTTCCGTCGGGTCATCATCACTGTTCATTCGGGAACAAGCCAATGCGGGCCGACTGCTGGGCCTCTGCAGCTCAACGGGAACGGCGTGGCACGGGGCCGGAAAAACCAAAACTATACTTCAAGAAGATTTTACGAAAGGTCTTACGAAAAAAGAACACGGGAGTCAACCAAAACCCCGCTTCCGGGCGTCCGGACTCACACGCAATCATCCGTCGGTGCAATCCGTTTTTCTTCACACATCACAACCCTCGAAAAATACGACGACGCGTGCTGTAGAAGAGGCGTAAGGACGAGGAGAGTCCCATGATGCTCGATATGCAGTACAGCCAAGTCTAGGCCGATCCGTGACAGCAACGGTGCCGCTTGCATGTAAGCAAGAAGAGCTTCTACGTGAAATGTTGTTGTGCATATGCACGTGGTCTTTCCAAGCAAAAACAGTTGCTTGTAAGCCATCCACGGAAAGAAAATAGACATCTTGTTCGTCATGTGTGATGCTGGACGTAGGAAAAATGAAGAGCTAGCATGAATCTCAAAAACGGATTTCCATGCAGGTTGTAAGGAACGGACACATGTCCCTACACGCGCGACTGCTGCCGCAGTAACAAATAGCAGCCAGCGGCCAACCTCCACCACCACAACTTCGGCGGCACTTCCCAAGGCAAGAAAATTGCGCTTAAAAACTTAAGCGCTGTCTATATGTACAAGCTGTATTCCCAAAAGCCCAAGCCGCACACGTATACACGCATGCAAGGCGGAAGTATCCATTTACCTTTCCCCTGTATGTTTCCACAAGTACAGAACGTTTCTTTTATTAGGCCTCATGGCGCAAAGCCTCGCCGTGCAACCGTATATGATCACTACGCGACATGGCCGCCACCAGAGTGTTTCGTTTCCCCGCCAATGCCTATCAGCGCGCCCCCCTCCCCGCGCATTTCTTTCCCCCCCCGCCTTTCCCCCCCCCCCGCCTACTCTACCCTATCCCACCCTGGCACTTTCCTCTTATGCGGACATTGCGCCCGTCCAGAGGACAGCAACCCTTGCAACATGAATGAGGACAATCCCTATGGCGAACTATCTATCGTTCCCGCCGGATCATGTCCCAGATCCCAACAAACTTTCCCCACATCCGCCGACCCAACATCCTCGCCAATCCCCATTTCCGCTTGCTGCCGGCGGAAGGGAGGCGGAGGTTATCGATTTAGAGCCCCTCACGTCGAACCCAAGTGCGCCAGTTGAGGCCCCCAAAGACACGAATACATTGGCCTTACGCTTCCGAAAGCGCTAACGGCCAAATTTTGAGGAGTTTTCCGGGCGTCGTGCGGCGCGCGGTGACAGCGCAGGCAGCATGGGGATCTCGATGCGGGGAAGCGAGGGACAGCGAGTTCCCACTACAGCGGTGATGGGTATATCCCGGTTAGGCGCGGGGCGAGGCAGAGGGGGCAGTGATGGGAGCAGGATTTGGGATGCCGAAGAGGACTTCACGTAAGTGGCATCTCCTTTCTGGGATGCTGGCCACGCGGAACCGTCCCTGCTGCAAGCCCTGGCAGCAGGCCCGCCAATGTTTGTGCAGTTACGAAGAGCAGATGGTCTTTTGCCGAAGATGTCAAGGCCTGAACCCACACCGCGGGGTTGCCGTCCGTCCATGGTGTAAGATTTGTCGAGCCTCTGGAACGTCCTCCCTTCTGTTGCCACAGACCTGCACGTGAGAAGCCAATAGTATAAAACATATGATCATGGTGGCAGCTCTTCAATCCTTGTTCATATGCAGTAGCGAAGCATGCTTGGTAACCGACAAGGGCAACTGACGCCCTGGTCGCGTCCAAAAGGCTTCGATGAGCACAAGGGACTAACCCGTAAGTTAAGAATCACTGAGACCAGACTTAAAAACAACAATTGGCTCAAATCCAATGCAACAAGGCGCAAAGAAGAGTTCCTAGGGACCAGGCACACTTAAGTCCTCATAACGCACCTCCTGCGGTTACGCACGTTTTCAGTTTTAGGTTTCGGCATTGAAAGCTTATGGCGCAATATATAAGAAGAAACATGGGTCGCGTAAAAAGCGTTTCGGTTATGCCGGCGCGCACTTCGTACAATTACGAGGGCATCGCAAGCCCGCCACCAAACCATTGCATATCATTTACAAGAGATCTTTTAGCGGAGAATATTGCTTTAAGTTCTTATGCCGCGGCACAGGTCGCATCGTTCCCACCACAAAGTGGGTCACAGCTGGTCAACGCCCGCGAAATCCTTGCTCCCCGATGACGCTAAGTAATGGACCCCATAAGCCTAACCTGCATGCAAAATTCCCATAATCCAAGCATTTTTGGGCGAGGCCCCCGGGCGCGAAGCGCCCAGGAGGCCCCCGCGCTGTAGGATTGCCCATGTCCGTGTGGCCGTGTGGCCCTGTGGCCGTGTGGCCGTGTGTGTCTAACGGACCAACCATAATATCTCGCCCGGCTGAAACGCAGCACTGGTAATAAATTCCATTCTCTACTGCAAGGTATCTCGCCTGTAACCAACAAAAATCGTATGAGGACAAACAAGTTTGGCTGCCTCGATTGACCGAGGTCAAAGTCACATCAACGCCTCTCGGTCTAAATTTAATCTCAAAAGATGCCGCATGTCTCATAATGGAAATCTGAGATGACGGTGTATGATAACTCGAACACCCAGCTTGCGTTACCATTTGCCCGCAGGGGCATTCCGACGTGCCACCAGTAGGCCGACAAATTTGCTTTCATTTCTCTATGAAGTACGCAAGCTGCTCGTTTGTACAATTATTTTGGCCAATGCTCGGGACCTCCGAAGACTTGCAGTGTCGCGGCTATGGGGCGGATTGCGGAAGCCGCTGGCGCTTCAGGGATTAACATCACAGACAGCACCGGAAAGTGCTGAGGGCTTTGGGGAAGTGTGTCGAGCTAGGCTTTGAGGGGGCCACAAGGGCGCGTCTGAAGGGGCGCCGTTGGCAGTGCATATGGTGCTGTACGGCGCTGTTTTCTGTGTGTTCGGGCTGCGGCACCAGACCGCAAAGCCAGTCAGCTGAAGGCTGGCAAGCTGCGATTGCGTCTGCTGAGCTTGAGCAGCCGGCCTGGACCGCTGTGTGCCGGTAACGGCACCTCAGACTTTTACGTTTACGCCCAAGCAAGGGGCTGTCGGTGGCACATCGCGGACCTCCTGACTACGTGTAACGGCCAATGACTCTTAGCCATGTCTGCTAGGTTCCAGAGAGACACCGTCTCTTCGACAGGTTATGAGCCCCGGCTTCCTGCCTCCCGCGCTCTGACAAGCATAGCTCCCACAGCATCAGCACTGCTGCAACAAGCACCGCTCCCACTACGTTGACACTACCCATCAATTGTCACACGTGCCGCCCTAGCTACCGGCCTGTACGCATGCAGGGGGCCCTCGCCCTTTTTCCGGCTTCGAGGAAGCCGACACAGCCCTTGTCCTAGTGTCCTCGAGAGGACATGCAAGGCATCATCACGAAGTGCCCGCATTTATGCAACTATGGCTGTGTCTTGTAAACTAAGAACAGCCTTCCCAAAGCCCCAGCTCAAGCCTCCACAACATGCTATGTGCTGAAACGAATGCACCTGCGTTTGCACTCGTCGACGGCCACGAGCCACGATTGTCGCATCATGGACCTCAGCCTGCTACCGGCTACCCTCTCTATCCCTGCTAATTTAGCCCCAAACCCCCACACACCGCCCCCCCCCCGACTGACACCCCCACTTTTCCCAATCCCACCACTGTGATAACCCCGAAAGACCACCTGCACCTGCACCTGCACCAAGATCTAATAAAGGTTATAACCATATCCTAGTACGATATACTACTTCCGTTGCATGTAAGACAGATAGGGTGACCGAAACCAGCGCGCCTCTTGGACTCTCGCCTCTTCAAGCCACCACTGCATCGGCGGCGCTCTCCCCAAACACTAGTGCCAGTTAGTGAACAACCTCTGCTGCACAGAGCGAGAACGTGCGCGCTCCTGTGTGAGTGTACATCTGTCTGTGTATATATGTATGTATGTATGTCTATGTGCCTCTTAGCTACCGCTGCTGTCCCAACAGATTAGCCAAAAGGCAGATTTGCTCATCCGGGCTTTCCCCCACCATCCCCCATAGGAAGTACGGCACCACCAGCACTCGCGCGCCGCTGGCCTCCAGTAGCCGTTGCCGCATGCGGGCCCAGCCCAGTGGCATGAAAGGCGGATTTCTGCAATCCAACAGAAAAGGACAAGAAAACCACGGGTCAGGGCTCATGTATGACAGTCACACTGGGACAGTCACATCAGGGCTCATGTGTGACAGTCACATCCCCCACATGCGGCCTCCTCTGAGTGCTTACTGTCGCTCCGGAGGTGCTCCAGCTCGCCTCAATCCTCCGCCAATCTCCTTTCCTTCCCTTCGTCAAGTCACTCTCTGTTGCTCTGTTGTTGCCTACAGCCGCCCCTCCACCCCGCCCCTCCACCCCGCCCCACCGCACTCACACCCACCACCGTACCGTGTGCATTCCGTATCTCCCACCAGCAGCACTGCAAGCGGTGCCGGGGCGGTGACGCCGTACGCTGCAGCGCCAGAGGTCCTTGACTGCGCCGGTAGCGGCGGTGGCGGCTGTAGCACCAAGAAATCCGCCACGGCAGTGTTGTCCGGAGCCACCCACCGCAGTAGCGGCTCCGCAGCTGTGAGGTCCCGGAGAGCCTGCGGGCAGAGAGGGAGCGGAGGAGCGGAAAAGAGTGGGGGACTGGAGAGGAGCTTACAGGGGATCAGGGCCTAGGCGTTATCCGTACGGCGAAAACGGGTGAGGGGACAGATGGCCAAGGTACGGCGAGGGGAACTAGAAACCTGACAGCATGTCAGATGATGGAGGTGGACCGTGAACGGGGGTAACATAAAGGCCTTGTCAGATCAGGTTTAGGGTGTCTGTCTGACTATCTGCTTGTCTATCTGCCTGTCTATCTGTCTTTCTGTCTGTTTGTTTGACGCGCAGAAAGAGCAGCAGCCAGTCGTAGCTGATCGCCCCAGATGGGCCCCTCGATGTGGGCCCCCCTAGGTCAGCCCAGCCCCACATAGATACGGCCCCATTGCCACGTGACAGCAGGCAGCCAGCCAGCCAGCCAGCCAGGCAAGAGGGCTAAGGGCAGTGGGAGGGCAGAGGGAGAATGGAATGCGGGATAAGAGAACCACTGACGGTTGAAGGGGTTGGGGAGGGGCCCGGGGCTTAGGTGCTTCTAGTCCGACATGGACGGAAATCAGCGACACCAAGCCGCTGTCACCTCACCGCCGCCACATCCAGGCGCCACAACTCCGCCTCCTGCGCCTCCACTGCCTCCAATCGCAGCCGCTCCGCCGCCGCCCACTCCGCCGCCGCCGCCTGGCACGCGCGCAGCAGCGCCGCCGGCAGCACCCGCGCGGCAAGGGGCCCCTCAACGTCACCCGCGCCGGCACCACCCGCACGAGCCTTCGGTACCACCTCCCACAGCTCTCGACCGCTTGCCTCGTCGTACATCTTCCGTACATCGTACTCGGACGACGGCAACGCTGCCGCGGTGGTCTCGTTAGCAGAGTCGAAGGAGTACTTCATGCGTCGCTTTGGCGAGGTGGCGCCTCGACCGTGTGTGACCCGTGGGTCCGCCCCGGCCTGCGTCGGCGTCAGCTGTGGAACAGCGGCGTCGGCTGCGACGCGAATGCGGCCCCAGTCCACGTCGGACCATGACCCGTCGTACGGGTTGGGCCCGAATTCCGTGAAGCCGGACACCCTCCTGCCCCAGGTAGCCCGAGGGCGGTGCTGTCGGTGCCGGTGCTGCTGCTCCTTTTCCGGCTGCTCGTGCTTCTCCTGCTGTGCCTGCGGGTCATGCTGCCGCTGGTCGGCCTGTGCCTGTAGGCCAGACTGGGTGATGGCTTCAGTGCCGTACATCCGAACCGCCGCCGCAGAACCGCTCCCAGCTGCCGCCCTCCCGTACAACCTTCCCCGGTCGCGTTGTACGACATCGGCTGCCTCCCCGTCCCTCTCGTCCTGCAACCCAATCAACCGATCCGCCGGTGCGGCCTTCCCCTCCCCCTTCCCCTCCTCCTCCACGCCACTTTGGTAGCCACCCGCAAGCTCAACGCTGCCCATGTCACGGCCAGTCACCGACGGCGGCACCGCCGGGCCGAGCAACTGCGCCGCTCCGTACAACTGCAGCAGCGCATCCTGGCTAAAGCTCTCCGGCGGGTGCCGTACCAGCTGCTGCCTCACCTCCGAAACCAGGTCCCACAGCAGCTGCTGTACGGCATGGTGACTATAACCTGGCTCATGCAGCAGCGGAAGCAGTAGCAGAGACGATGCCCACAACGCCCGGGCCAAATCAACTGGTGTCAGCCCCTCGCAACGCCCTCGCAACGCGGTTGCTAGCGCCAAGGTGGCGGAGGTAGCGGCGGCGCCGCCGCCGCCGCCGCGGCCGCCGATGGAGCCGGCAGCAGCATTGGCAGCCGCTGCCAGTTTGGATCTCGGCGATAAGGACGAGGTGAGTGAGCGGCTTGATGATGGTGATGTAGGCCGGGCGGCCCCGTCTGCAGGCCCCAGCCCCAGCACTCCGAAACCAAGGCCAGCGGGACCCCGCTGCTCGTCCAGTCCCAGCTGAGCACATGCCCACATGAGCTCACAAACCTGAGAGGCGCCGTACACAGGAACACCGTTATAAAGTTGCCAAAAATTTTCAATTCCAATTTATATATATATTTTTTAATGTTATAGTAAAGAGTCTTTCAAATCAAATTAATGACAGCGGAAATACCGATACGGTGGATAGGACTGAAACTCCCTTCACTCCCCTTCACCACTCCTACCACCCACTCGCCCGTGGGCCGCCCCCGCCCCGCCTCTCCCCCTCTGCAGGTACTTTACCTCCTCCGCGCTGAGGTCACCTTTCTTGTCCCACACCATCCTCGCCAGGCGAGGCCCCCCCAGCTCGTCATCCCGGTGGCCCAGAGCCGCCAGGGCGCCGATGAGGGCGGTCAGCTGGCGCCCGGTGAGGTGGCGGTGCCGCCGCGACGCCACCTGTGAACGCAGGGCGGAGGTGGTTGTGATGCTCGTGATGGTGGGTCCAAAGATGTTGTCGTCGAATATACATTATACATTATATATATACAGTGGTAGTGATGGATTCAGAAAGGCGCCAAGCTTGGGGCAGGAGGGGCGGTGGGAGGGGGTAAAAATCAGGGGGCCCCTAAGAAACGTCAACAGACGGACGGTGGCTGCGTGTTAAGGTTAAGGTTAAGGTAAAGGCAAAGTCTTACCCCGGTCCCAATACTCCCCGGGGGAAGGGGAGTGGGGCTCGGGGCCCCGGGGGCCCTCCTTCCCTTCTTGGCCCCAGAAGAGGTGACTGGTGTACGCGGGTGATACCCGGGAACGGGAATGGCTGTGGCCCCCTCTTATCATGTCACGATGAGGCTGGCCAACAAATCAGGAAGGAGTCGGGAGGAGGACAGTGTGCTCGATTCGTACCATCGCAAATGCCGTACACAGCGCCTCGTCATAGTGCCGCGCCTGCGCGTACGAACGCGCCAGCGTCACCACCTGGTCGTTCTCGAATACGCCCTTGTACGACGCCGCAACGGTCGCCAACGCCGCCAGCAGCGGAGGATCCCGTCGACCCGCCGCGACGAAGGCCCAGGCCAGGGTGGTGACGGAGGTGGGGTCCAGGGGGGGAGCGACGCCGCTGCGGGCCACCGCGGCGGCGGCAGCGCTACTGCTGCTGCGGCGGCTGCCGCCGACGCCGTACCGCGGCTCCGAGACCGCCTCGGCGGCGGCGGCCTGTATCCTCTTCTGAAACGGCTCCATGAGGACCAGTGCAGCGGCAGACAACTTGTCGTACAGACGCTGGTCAGTCCTGCCGACGCGCGCGTATGCCCAGGACACCCTGTAAGGAGGAGTTCGGGGGTTGGGGGGTTGGGGGTTTTCGGGTTCCAGGGTTTGGGCCAGGAGGACGAAGATGCCCCATGTGTGAAACGATCGTCAATGTTGTTTGTTCGCATCACATGTTATAAACTAATGTGACCGACATGAAATCCGTAAAATCAATACACACACGCACACACACGTACATGCATGCGCACACATACTGTAACTTGCAAGGGCGTTGGAAAGCCACCTGCTGTCGTCAAACCTGCCCTTCTCAGCCCTTTCCAGCCCTTCTCAGCCCTATCCAGCCCTTCTCAGCCCTTTCCAGCCCTTTCCAGCCCTTTCCAGCCCTGCACATCCCCGAGGCCGCGTACACTGGTGTACACATGCACACCCATACCCACTTGGCGAGCTGCTCGCCCTGCATGCCGCCCCGCTCCGCGCACAACCCGGCCGCCGCCGCCAAGCGCTCCCAAATCCGATCCATCGCCCTGGGCACCAGCCACACCATTACCGGAGCCGCGTGGGCGCGGTCGTGGTGGCGGTGCTGCCGCCCTCGCGTCGTGGACAGAAGCCGCCCTCCTCCTCCCCCTCCTCCTCCTCCGCCGCCGCTACTACTGCCGTCATTCGTGGTGCGTGCTACAGCCGCTGCTGCCACCTCCTCTTCCTCCTTCTCCTCCAAGGCTGACGGCAGAGAAGAAGCTAAGGCGTGGTCTGCGCAACTAGTGGCGGCGGCCTGTACGACCTTGCTGTCGGCACCGTCGCCGCCGCTGCTGCTACTGCTACTGCTGGCCCTTGCTCTGTCCACACCGTCGCCGCTTCTGTGCAATGTGGTCTTTGTCTCCTCCACTGCCTCCGCTGCCGCAGGCTGCGGCCCCTCCGCCTTCGTCGTCCCCTCCGTCGCCGCTGCCGCCACCTCCGCCGTCCCGTCCTCCTCCTCCGCCGCCGCCGTCAGCTTCTGTACGAGCTGCGGCCCCACCTGCTCCCCACTCCCGACCCTGACACCCAGCACCCCCGAATCACCCCCCCCGCGGACGTAACCCACGACCCGCGCACCGCCACCGCCACCGCCGGACGCCAGCTGAGCCACCGCGCGCGCCGGCTGCCGTACAGCCTGATGCATATCGCCGTACAGCTGCTCCAAGGAGGCTAGACCCCAGGCCAGCTCCGCCAGTTCGGTTCCGGAGCATGCACGCAGCTTCCTGGATCCGGCGGCGGTGAGGGCGGCGCATATGGGCGCCACGATCTCCGGCGGCACGTAGGTGAGGCGCGCGAAGGCGGCGAGGCAGCGGGCGAGGTCGGGGCCGGGGAGGGGCGACAGGTCCCGCAAAGTGGCGGCGCTCAGGAAGCTGCGAGTGAACGGTGATGGAAGGGGGAGGGGGAGCACGGGCGGGAGTAGGGTGGGAAGGGAGGGGGTTGTAAGAGAATGTAAATGCCGTCTTACTACTCAGCGCCGTACGACCCATCACGTATGCGAGCGCGAGGGATGCGGGGAAGCAGCAGCAGCAGGAGGAGGAGGCGAAGTAGAAGGAGGAGGAGGAGGAGGGTGAGTCGCAGTTCACACAAGTGCGGCACCTAAGCGTGGAAGGGATCTGCCAACTGCCAACTGCCGACCGACGTACAAACCAGCACCAGCTGCCGAAGTCCAAAAGGGGGTCGTACGACAGTTCATGCAGTACACCTGGTACCTGGCATGTATACGATACGGCAACATGACGCACCGGATCATGCGCCGTGTGCGAGGCCCCGAGTTGCTGGTTTGCAGATCGAGCTCCGGGAGGCGGGCCAGCAACTTGGCAGCATGCTTGCTACGAAACCAAGATCCAGCGTCGTACACAAGCAGCTCAGCATCCCGGAGGTTTCGGAGCTCAGCGATGCGGCTCAGCAAATCCGCGTCACGATCCGTCGCCGCCGCCGTCCTCGCCCCGACGCCACCGGCAGTCCTTTGGATGATGCGGAGGGTACCGACAACGCCGCCGCCGGCAGCGACTGCGGGCATGGAGCTGCCCGCTGATACCGCCTCCTCCTCCTCCGCTCCTGTACTAGTGCCGTACGGCGGCTTCTGAAGGCCGCCACCGACCGCCCGATCGGCCGGCGCTGCAGCGTGTTCACCTGGGGAGGTGACGTCCGCCGGCACCTCACCGTCTTTGGCGCCGGCGCTGGTGTGTTCACCTGCGCCGACAAAGACCTCACCTGCCATCATGCCTTCAGCTTCCGCGGCTGTATCGGAACGCCGTACCTCATCGCGGACCTGTACGGACCGGCCCGCGGCACTCGAGGCCGCCGCCCGCCGCCAATGCAGCGCCGGGGGTTCTTCGGCTCCATCACTGCCGCCCCTGTTGACCCGAGATCCGGATTTCATGCCGTTGCTGCCGCCGGGGCCGTCAGCACGCGCCGGTTCCGGCGGCATCAGCGCCGCCGCCGCAGATGCAGCTCCGCCACTGGCGTGAGTCGCCGCGCCGCCGCTGCCTCGCGGGAGCCCTAGCGACTCCCGCAGCCGCTGCACCCTGGCGGTCAGCTCCATCGGCGCCTGACCGTCCGGGTCCCTCTTCCGCCGCGGACTTGACCGCCGCGCCTGCCGTACGAGACCCCCCAATCGGTTCCATGCATCGCCGCCAGCACCGTTGCCACCGCCACTGATTCCACCCTTGCCGATAACTGCCGTCGGATGTTCTAAGTAATCTGCCCCGGACGTCGGGTTGGGGCCAACATTCCCCTGACTGAGGTCTGTTGCACGGTGGGGACTAGTGGCAGGACGGGGCCCCAGCGTAGGAGCTCCGAGAGCTGACGTGACGGGTGGCTGTGCATCCGGCTGCGAGGAGCCTTCCGGCGTGGCTTCGGCTGTCTCCGATGAAGTCCGCAGGTCTGCAGTTGCTTCGATAGTGCTGCTGGAGCTGCTGGAAGCCCGGAAGGTTGTTGGCCGAGCGCTTGGGACGGCGACCAAATGAAGTGAAACAACAAACTGCCTCCCTGCGGTGCTGGCGAAGAAAGTATTTGAAGCCTGCGGCAAGAAAAGGTTGACGGGTTGTGTCGGAAGACGGGTCGGACCTGAACACCCCGACATAAAGTTGAAAGCGATAGCAGAGACCGTTACCCTGAGAACTTCGCGGCCCCATGCATACACCTCTGGCATACAGTTGTACCCAGGCAGCAGCCATCGGAGGCGCGATGGCACAGACATCCGAGTGGACGCTCAATTTGACGCGGCTAGCGCTTTTGCTAGTTGTTAATCACAAGCTTCATTGTGCCTAACAGCTGTCTTTTGCGCTTCCCTTTCGTTGGTCATTGCACAAAAAGAGTACATGCTGCAGGGCATTAATGATAAGAGAAACACATTGTCAGATTAATATTTAGAGCTAAATCTGCAAAAGGTCTATGCCATGTTGCCAAATAAGTCTGACTAATTCATCATTCCTTACTGCAACACTTGGATAGGTTGGTGCGCTGTTCCAACACAGTATCCAGCACCATGCTTCTTTCGCAACACCCGCTAGACCAAGTCAGGGGATTCCATGACAATGACCTTTTCTCAAATATTAATCGGAGGCTTGCTTGCATCAACAGCTCATCAATGCTACTTAACACATTCATGTTCCCCCTTCTAATTCACCGTGCTTTCCCATTATTTCAGAGGTAGCTGGCCTCGGCCAGCAGCAGACCCGGTGAAATACTATGTACTAACAGCATTCCTTTGCGGTGCTTTATAGGATGCTAAGCGGTCATAACGCAGCGGAAGCGTTTCTTACATAAGCTGTGAAGTAGTATGATTCCTTGGCCCCTTTACAATGTCACCAAGGTGTCGGAAAATCACAATTTTGAAGGGTTGGGTACTTGCGCCGCACATGGCCCGCGCTTACTGCCGCCAAGGCCGCCTGGAAATTCTGCCGCTGGCTTAGGAAAACCACTAATCAAAGCTAAGCGGTCCGTCCTGCGCGGACCGCAGGCCCCGCCTACGTACCTAGCATACTCACACGGTGATGCTCCTTTCCTAAAAATATAATACAGATGTCCCGAAACCTTCTGACCCTAGTGATTCCCTTTGGATTCAGCTAAAGCAAGGCTACGCACTCGTCAACATGCGCACTTTCGCACTCAGTCACTCGCTTAGAAACACATGTAAAAAAAGGCGACCACATAAAGGGGGAAAGCATGTATTCAATCTTCGGCGTTTGACCACGTTTGCACTCCTGTGACTCTTCACTTTTGTGGGCCTCCCGCCTGCACGTGAGGCGAAAGCCCGGGCGGTCCTGTAGGACAGCACACGATCTCACACAGCCAATTTAAGCTGGTTGCGTGGCTGATTTCCAGCCTCTCTACCAAATGGTGCGGCATGATCTATAACGTAATTCACGCCTTTTCCCCTGTTTTTCCATGTTGCTATGCATGTTTGCGTCGGCTGCATCCACGCACATTCCGGGAAAATGGCTATCGCTTACACATCTCTCTAAGGCCGGCTGATACCACATTGCGCACGCAGACGCCCTTCACATCTTTAGTAAGCTTTCGTGTTGAGTCTTCAAGTACATCTACACATGCCAACAGCCTTCTGGATTCTCCGTTTCATGCGCCTTCAACGGAGATTGCGCAAAAAAATGAGAGAGACTTTCGAACGTGATTAGATAAGGTGCCCGGCACGCCAACGCATCCGATTCTCCTTCACGGGACTGGGTTCCGTTATAAGACCAGCAGATTACCAGATCCCTCTACTGAACAAAAGAAGAAGACAAAAGAAATTACAAATATCGGAAATTACAAATATCCTGTCCACAAAGAACCTTGCATAAATCACAATCACAGCACACACACGCCGCCGGGTGGAGGCAGCCGCCCCGCGCAACCAACACCACACGCTTAACGCACCGAGAAGCGATGGGTGTACGACAAGTACGTTGTATAATCAACAGCTCCAACCAACAACCCGGCCGGTAGCCGCCAAATTGCCCCCGCGCATTGCAGCCGCCGCCGTGTAAACATCACCATCGAGTTTCCAAACTTCAAACAAACACATCCCCCAAAACCAACACATCCAACGACAGGGGAGCAAACGACAACCCGCAATAATAGTCACAGCTGTCATGGTAGCGTCATAGCACCACTTGTCGTAGTCATAGCACCAGTAGGAGCACCCAACAATGTTCCGACCAGGTAATCATCTAATGTGATGTAACGAAACAAAACCAACGCCGCAACAAGGGCACCCTCTGTGATTTGGTAGGCGCCGACAGATAGACCCGACGGCTCACCCGACGGCCTTTGAAAATTGGTCGTACAGTAGTACACTTATTTACAAACCCCGTGGACAAACCCAGCTGCTGTCATTCGAGCACACTTCCCCAAGCGGCCCTTGGTATAAACCCCACTTCTTCCCACTTTAAATGTACGGCAGTTCGCTCAATTCTGCACGGCATAGCACGGGAATATGTACGAGTTTCCTTTGGGCGAGGCGAAGCCTAAAAATGGAAACGTGTGGCAGACGCGGTAAGGTACGTACGGCGTCTTAAAACGTACCAAGGACAGTACCCTGCAGTACTGCCAGTCCCGGCCGCCACGCAGCCGCCGCTCGCTACACCGTTTCGCAACCGGAGGCGGCCCCCCCCACCCCACCCCCACACCCCAACCCCCGTCCTGGAGGCTGCCGATAACACCGCCGGAAAGGTTCTGTGAACGCGGCGGCCCTGTGGGTAATGTGGTTCCCCTCCCTCCTTTCCTCCTCCGTTCCCGTCAGTCCGGGCAGTCATACGGCACCTGCCTCCTCGCAACATAGCCACCCGCACGCCCACTCCCACCGCCACTGACATCGGCACACCGCCATTGACATCGACACGCCTGCAACAGCCTACAGGAACTAGAACATGAGCTTTTGTAAAAAGCTGATCCGCTCTACACGGGGCTGTTTCTAGCAGCAGCTCTGCTAGCCGATGAAGAGTAAGAGACAGAGGGAGAGGGAGAGAGAGTGGGGGGCAATGCGCTGGGTGCCCGACCGGCAACGAACTACAATCTTTCAACGACTTGTACGGCGAATCACAGCTAGCTAGCTCAGGGCAGGGGAGAAAATGTCTTCCCCCCAGAGGGTCTGTGGGGTATCAGCGCCACGCTTGAAAGTACGGCATGCCCACCTGGCAGCATGTATGCAATTCCACACAGCACGTCCGCTCGCCCCCTTGCCTTCCCCCCACTCACTCACGCACTCAGGATCATGGGAGTGCATGCAAGGGGCCCGGGGGTTGCTGCGGTAGAGGTCCGCAACTCCCCTCCCCTCCGGCAGGGGGGGGAGAGGCCGGGGGGTGGCCCCTCCGTGGCACGTTACGAGAGGCATCATCAGCAGTAGCAGTAGTCGTACACGCCGTACCCACTTTGTAAGCTGTCTAGCCGTACAGTTCCGGAATGCGCGCCAGCATCCTCCAGGAGTGATGGCGTTTCGAGGATCTGCGTCATTGAGCGTTGGCAGTTGACAGTTATAGTTATGTCTACCAGTGGTTGTCGTTGGTTTTGTTTCTTTTAGGTCATTTTGCCTGTCCAATAGCGCTCCTCATTGTGGTGACGAGGGTATCAATGACACTTGTTGTTAGTTCATCATTCCCTCTCAGCCCTCCAAGCACTCGCCAGTCCCTCTCCATTCCTTCAATCCCTCCCCTTCCGCCCCCTCCTCAACCTCTTCACCTCCCCCCCACCTCTTCACCTCCCCCCCATCTCCCCTCCCCTTTCCCCCCCTACCCTACCCTCACCCCACCCTCCCCTCACCCCACCCCACCCTACCCTCACCCCACCCCACCCTACCCTCACCCCACCCCACCCCACCCTACCCTACCCCCACCCTACCCTACCCGCACCCTACCCCACCCTACCTTGAGCACCAGCTCCTCAAACGCGTTGGCCACCGCGATGTTGGTCTTTGCGGATGTCTCCACAAACAAACACCCGTGTCGCCGAGCAAAGTCAGAGCCCTCGTGCCAGGACACCCGCCGCGCGTCGCCCTACAGCACCCGGAGGAGGAGTGGAAGGATGTTTTACTCAAGATGGTGTTTTTATAACTTCGGTTTATGTGTATGTATGTGCGTGAGGGAAGGAGGAGTGCCCAATCCCCCCGACCCACCACGTCAACCTTGTTAGCAACCACCATGCGTACGGCATCCGCCTCAGTGCCGTACAGCTCCAGCTCTCGCATCCATTGCTCCTCCAGGTGTCGTAACGTGTCGGGTCGCGACACGTCGTACACTGGTGGTGGTGATGGTGGGGAGAGGCGGTCCCAAAAGAAAAACGGGGCCGGTGTGTCCGTCATGATGATGATGATGATGATGATGGACAAAAAGAGGGAGAGGGGAGGAGGTAATGGGTACCCACGTACCACCCGCCCACATACCACCCGCCCACGTACCCCAACACACACGCAACCACACAGCCCCGTCGACAGATTCACAGTACCCCACACCCCTACACCCCCCCTCATAACCCCCCACCCCACCCCGCCCACACTGAGTGGGTCCTCTTCTGACCCTCAGCAGCCCCCCAGGCACCCACAACCCCCAGGCACCCCACAACCCCCAGGCACCCACCCAGTATGATCCCCTTCGCGCCCCGGTAAAAGGTGCTGGTGAGGGTGCGGAACTTCTCCTGGCCAGCAGTGTCCCAAACAGTCAGCTTCACGCGCTTGTCGTACACAGAGAGCTTCTTCACCGCGAAATCGACGCCTGAGGCCGAGAAGAGGGTGCGGAGGCGGGGGCCGAAGTGCTTGTGTGGGGGGGGCCGCCTGTGTTTATGTACGTATGTATGTACGTATGTATGCCTCGTAGCGTCTGTAAATAGTAATCACAAGTTACAAGAGGCTCTGGGGAAAACCACGATTTCTCCGGGTATACTTACTAAATTCGTAAAGCAAATAAGTTAAATGTGTGTATTTTCACATGTGTATATAATATACACACATATCTGGCCCAGCACCCTCCCGAGAATTTACACATGTTGGAGCTCAGGAGGGCGACAGAGAGGAATTGGACGTCGTCAACAGGGGCACAGTGTACGGCAAAGTGCGGCGGGCAGCGGCGGAGGGGAACGGAGGGGAGAGATGGATGGATGAGGGGGTTTCGAGGATGGCGGGGGATGTTTTGGGCGCCAACATCAAACCCAAGGCTCACACAACTATATCTATCCGTATTACGGGCATTATGGCCTTTGCGTCTCTTTTACGCAGCGAAGAAGCGATAAGGATGTGTTCCGTTCCCTTCCCCCCGCATGCCGTCCTTCTGGTCTCATCTTCTCTTTTCCCCTCCCAATAGACGCATACATACATATATACGTACATACATGACATATATACATACATGCATACACACTCTCACTATAGCGCTCTCACGCACCGATGGTGGAAGCCACCTTTTCGTCGAAGCTGTCGTGAGCGAACCGAGTGAGCAAGCTGGTCTTACCCACCCCAGAGTCACCCAGAAGCAATATCTGTACGTACGTATGTATGTGCGTATGTATGCACGTACGTACGTATGTGGAGTTTTTTGGGGGAAGGCGATCCATGCAAGGTATTGAGGGGTGGGGCGGGGTGAAATGGGGGGAAGCGAGGTAAGTGGTATACGGTGTGTTTTAAGTGAACTAAGGCGCGAGGTGCAAGGGTTGTAGGAGTCTGATGCAGGACTTTACTTGGTGATGTGTATGTGGGGCTAAGTGGGTTAGGTGGAGTGTAGGGTGGAGGAGAGGGTGTGGGGGAGATGGAGGCTTGCAGCTGGACGCGATGAGCCGTGAGGAGTGTGGCCGAAGTAGGGCGCCGCTTCAGTTAAGTCGAGGGAAATGGGCGTAGAGCGCAGCCTGGTTTAACCAGAGACGCGTTGTATGGCGCGGAGAAAAAGGCTTCAAGGGATTTGGCATGGTAGGTGTACGTTATGGGGGGATGGCGCAGCGAGGAACGCGCAAGCAGCGTTACGGCTGTAGGACTGAGCAGGGGTGTTTTACAATTGGTGATGGCAAAACGCCGCCCGCGAGCGTGACCACACGGAATGCGTGGTTACTTGCCTTGATGGTAAAGTCAATGACCGAGTCCGTCGCCTGCAGCTCCACGGCCATCCGCACGGCATCAAGGGTTTCAAGACGGGCTGACACCGTAGATTACGCGAAGTTCAGTTTTACCTACATCATCTTGAGAAACTATATCACAATGGTACGGGGTGAGTGGCCCAGTGGGCTCGACAGCTAACGGTTACACGTTTTCTATGGCCAAAGGCAACATAAGTGACAGAGCCTCTGAAGAGACGTAAACACGACAACTGAAAAATTAATGTTTCGCAACGAAAATCCCTTGCCCGTGGCTGGCATACCGTTACTTTTTTGCATAAGGCCTACGAAGCTTTCCTTATAATTTGCATGGCTTGCTACTTCTTTTTCGCTTGTGACACACGAACAAGTTAGGCCACTGAAAATTTCTGTATAAACCAGGAACGCATCTGCTATCCGCGCCCGGGCTTCGCCCGCGGCTTCCACCTTTCCACGCCCTCCCAATCACCTCATCATCACGCGCGTTCCTGACCTCAAAGCAAGAGAAGCATAATGACAGGCACCAATAGGAGGCTTGACGGCCGCCAGGAGGCAGTGCTGAAGCAGATGAAAGGCTTGGGTCTGCGGAGGCAGTCTAGGTGAGAGAAGTCGCCGCCTTCCATCGCGCTGCCAGGAAACGCCCTTACAGCCCGTTACTGTTGCAGGTCTTATGCCACCAACCTTTATGATATTGACTCCACTTCTCAGCTTACGTGTGCCTCGGACGCGCCGTTTGAGGACACGACCGAATTCGGGGAGTCGACCGCGCTGCCCTCTGTTGACGTTGGGGAGTACAGCGATGCGTCCTACTCGGAGCAGAGTGATTTCAGCGAATATCCCTCTTCATCCAGCTCTCCAGAGTCGCCACGTTGTGCGTTTCAAAGTCCCAAAGGCCTGAGTCCAGAGGTAAGCATCCCGCGGCCTTGCCTGGTCATGCCGGGCGGAATTCAATGGACGTTCCAATCTTTTTTCCAGGACTTTGAGTTTCTGCAAGCTCATGGACTCGAGCGCTGTACGTCGCTGAAAGAACTCGGTCAGGGAGGCTATGGCACTGTCGACCTTGTGCAGGTGCGTGACGCTGCGCACGGCTTTGCCATATCGTAACACACGGTTTGAAAATGCTGTACAGTAACGTATCTTCATTGCTCATCACTTTCGCTTTGTACCTGACTTCCGCGCTATGTCGAAAGGTCGTGAACATTATCCTTACTGAAATTGTCCAGACATGCCGCCTTGCTCTACATAATAGCGCTTTCGTTCTTTGCTGCCTAACACCATAGGTTGCTCTGCCCAGCGGTCGCAACTTCGTGGCAGCTCGCAAGGTAATCCATTCTCCTCTTTACGCTCAGCCACGCTATGAGCGTGAGCTGCGCGGCCTTATGCTTTGCGCGGAGTGTCCTTTCGTGGTGGATGTTTACGCCTCGCGGGTGACGGAGGAAGGGCAGTTTGAGTTTCTGCTCGAATACGCTCCAAACGGCACCATGCACGACATGCTCAAGGCCATGGAGCAACGTCGCCGCGGCAAAGAGAAGCTGCTCATGCCAGTTAACCGCATCCAGTACTATGCAGCCTGCATTCTGCAGGGTTTGCATTTCATCCATCAGCGTGGTCAGGCCCACCGTGATGTGAAGCCTGGCAATGTCCTCATGGCGGCCAATGGCCGACCCATGCTCGCGGATACTGACAGCATGGACAGCGTAAAGATTACGAAGCGCGCTGGAACCACCAGTTACCAGGCGCCGGAGCTCTGGCGTGCCACCCTGCAGGGTCCTGGCTACACCGCCGACAAGGCGGACATGTATGCCATGGGAATCACCTTGGCGGAGATGGTTGCCTATCCAGCAGGGTCCAATGGCAAGTTGCAGCAGCTGAAGGACGATCCAGCGGGTTGCATGCCTGCCTACGTGCCAGCTGATCTGAAGGACCTGCTGTGTGGCTTGCTGGCACCGGCAGCAAAGCGCCTGACGGTTGAGCAGGCTATGGGGCATAAGTTCTTTGATGGCTTGGATTGGCCTGCTCTCAGCTCCGGGCCGCTTGGCTTTAACGTACAGCTGCGCCAGGCGCCCTTGTCTGAGGCTGGTCGCGCCGAATGAGGTCAAGGAGGGGAAAGTTGTGTATGCGTCCACTGGGGCGTCCCGAGAAGGAGTGCTTGGCGACGCCGGAACTGGCGTCGATCTGCTTGATACGGCACGATGTGAACGCGCGACCCGACGCATGACTGGTTACTTTAAAGATGCATGCTAGGTTCGGGGCCTTGGCGAATCAAGGTGTGTAAGGGGGTTGCCTTGTCTGTGCACACGTGTTCTTTGGACTGCATCGTCAACGAAGTGACCGGTGATTCAGTGTCTCTCCAGTTCGTCATCGGATCCGCAGACGGAATGGGGCCTGATGGGGCTTTTCAACGGAGCGATGCCTTAGGTATGTAATCTCCGAGCTGAGCTCCTGAGGCCCGTCAACCGGCGGAGGGTGTGTTCTTTATGGTGCGACAGCGCAGGTAGTGCGCGGCGGTTCGCGCAAGCTTTGGTTTGCAATGCGAGTGCGTGATGCTGAATGCGTATTATTTGCTGAGTGAGCGGTCGCGTCAACCATGCATATTTCTTGAGAGCATGCTTACGAGGTGCAGTGTGTGCTGGCGTTGTGTACGTGATATTGAGTGCTTTTTTTAGGGAATATTAAATACATTCGTTGCGCGCCGTGCTATTCCTGGTTCCAGTCGCCGCATATCCTACTTAGTCCTCTCTCGCCACTTCTTCATTCGGGACCCGCAAATGCCTTTGTTGGCCTCCACCAACAATGTCTTGCGGGACCGCTGATGTGCCGGACACCTCATGGGCGCCTTTGGGGGATATCTCTGTGCTGGGCTCAAGCAGGTTATTCCTCGAGCGTGAAAGTCTATATGAGAAGACTATTGAGTTCTGTCTGGCATTGTCCACGATTTGTCAGTTCTTTATTGGCGCCGTATGCGCTTATGTCAATAATACTGCCTGGCCGTGCAATTTCTGCCAGGCTTCCCTTTTAGCATTCTTTGTTGGATCAGGCGAATTAAATCCGGTTACATAGGTGTAGGTTGGCGCGTAACTACGCTGCATGAGATTTGCTGAGTAACGTGGGCTGGCGGACGATTCGCGCGGAGTAAAGTGCCCCCAGCTCCATGCTAGTTAATTTCGTCGGCCTAGTGCGTGATGTGCGTGCCGCATGCACACCGCTGGAGTGACTCCGTGACGCATTTGTTTGTGTGAATTTGGTATAAACAATGCTGGATGATTTCGTGGCAGTACGCATTGTCATTGCTTTCCTATTCTGCTGTGAGACGAGCATGACGTCTTTTGGACCGTGTGTGCAGCTGTGGGTTTTCCGCTGGTGTCAACGGGTGGCTTATGGGGTGTTGGGAATTTGTACGGATTGCGGCGCGAGTCATGTTGGCGGTTGATCCGGAGACTCTTAAGTCAAGGGAAGAAAAAATAGTGTTGTTTGACCGTTCTGGTGTTTGCAACTGGACCTATTTGGAATTTGGGAATAGGGAGGTTTGGAATGTTTCGAGGATGCTTGAGAATCTTTTGATTATTGCTTATTTGAGTGTGGTCTTATCGTGCGAAACTGTTCTTGCGGTTTTGCGTTCATAATTTGCAGCTGTGTTTATAGCTTGCTGTTTGTGATGTTGGTATGATGCAAGTTGCACATGTGATTGTAAGAAGGTACAATCATCCGCCGATACATCCGCCGACATCCGATGTTAAGTATACGGTTCGACTGTTACAAAAGTAGGCGTAAATTGTCCGCGACCTTAACGTACCACCGGAAATTTTACGTACCTCCCTAACACTATCAAATGTTGCACAATACTTTCATTCAGCATTACGCTCATCCGTCCCTGCGCCTGCCTGCCAGCCCTGGCAGCACACATCACAGAGCAGCCAAACAATTCATAGTTGTGCTGATATTTGTCTAGCCTATTTGATGGCAAACCCATATTGACACGGGTGTTAATCAGCAGGTATGAGTAGTAGCGTTGGCTTTATTCTGGAGTATCTCTTTCTTGCTGCATCAGAAACATCACTCGCGAGATACCGCAAGGCCACCGGGAGAGCTCCAGAGAGCAGAGAGCACTCAACTCGCTGTTGCCAGCGAAGACCCTTCCGGGTCAAAGCAGCTTTCCAGCCCTTCCAAGCACGCGACATTACCTACACTTTTGAACAGGGACGGAGCCCGCAGCGCACCTCCAGAAAAGTACACTTCCCAACACACATTCACACATCTACTTCTCCGCGGTTCAAAAGAGTCGCGGTGCAAATACGATGGGCCAAAACCTCGTATGGATTGCTACACCCGCACCTCGCACCGGGACACTACTACGCTTCGCGAGCCTTTGACCACGACCTACAATTTGGCGCACCACCGTTTGGTAGTCCCCCCCTGTACGGCACATACATCTGCTTACAGCATCACACACGCATGTTTCCATGCCACACGCTCACTTTTCCAAAACCCCATCTACCTGCCACCGTAGCGCTGTGGGCATGACCTCACACACCTCCAAACCACCTCTCCGCTTCCGTTCCTCTCCATCCTGCATCCATCCCGGGCGAGCTGTAACTCACAATCATCCCTCCTGAGCTTGTTTCTTCTGACCTGGTCTACGTAAAAACTCAGCATTCAACAGCAGCCAAGTACGCCAGGATCCATGCTGCACCGCCACAATCCACACGCAACATCAACACCGCCACCGGTTGGACCATGAAGCCCTAAACCCTGATCAAGGACCCCTAAGCAACCTGAAGCTACACTCCCCCCAGTGAACCGATATCCGACTATATCTCTCTGCTGAAAAGGATGCTGGTGATGTGTTCATGATTTTGGCACCGCTGGTGGCGGCAGGCGCAGCTCCACGTCCGTGGACAGCGCGTACCAGCGCTCCCAGGTGGCCGCCTGCGCCCGTGCCAGCGACACCATCGACGTGATGGGTGTGCGAACCGCCATCTCCACCACCTGGCGCAGCGACAGCAGCGGCCCGTAGCTCTGGCCGTCGTCCAATGAGGGGCGGAATGAGGGAGAGGGACAGGCAAGGGAGGGACAATCATTAGCAACCAAAAAAAGCGAGCAAGGCATGAAAAGAAGAGGCGGGTGGGGCTTAACGAGGATCGATTGCCACCATCCTCATGCACTTTGGACCTTCATCATGAGCCACCAACATATTCATGAATCATCACACCCCACGAAACCCCTTACACGCACCTCCAGTAGCCACATGACGGTGTTGTCCCACTGCTCCGCCGGAACCGACAGCTCCGAAACCTCCACCACATGCCGCGCCGTCACCTCCCGAATGTCGGTGCTGTCCCAGTCAAAGGCGCCGTTGAGCGTCAGATTCGCCGCCAGGCGCACCACCTCTGGGTTGCCCAAGCTCTCGTTGGCCACCACCAGGGACAGACGATAGTAAGCCGACAGAGTGGCGCCGGTGTTGTCAGCGCCAAATGACACGGACGGCACGTCCAGCGCCTACATATGGTAAGAGACGGCGTAGAGAGAGGAGCGGGTTGCGGGGAGGGAAGCAGAGGTCTAGGAGCTCGTTATGGATCGGGGGAGCCTTTCTGCTGTTACCCAGTTTCCCAGGACCGCCACAGCCGTCCCTTTCCCTTAACCAGTTTTAAAGCTTTGGGCTGCCTTCATTCGTTTTCTTCACCCCAGACGACTCCTGTCCCGACGGCCTGAGGAAAGCTCGAGCGCCCAACCACGGGGCCCTTGTAATTCCCATCCTGGGGACCGACCTGGCCCCGCCTCCACACCGCTCTCCACGGCGTTACTTACCTCAACATTGATGATCATGCGCTGGTGGGGGTACTTCTTGGGAAGCTCCGGAACCAGCAACGACAAAACATCCTGCGCCGTAGAGCGGTAGATACATTGTCTAACGCTTCGGACCAGCCGGGATTTTGAGAGATAAACTGCTCCTTGTTTATCAGAGATAAGCAAGGAGCAGCGGTTCGTAGACAGCAAGGCCGTGCGGCCGCCGCTATGAAACGCCTGTTGACGTGCATTTCGCCCTTCCTTGCCCGTCACTCTTACCTCAACCGCTGCCAGTCTCGTCCCCTTCCCCCCCGTCCCTTCCCCCTCCTTCCCCCTCCTTCCCCGTCGTGCTTGGCCCCCTGCGTCTCTCACCGCCAACCCGCCTCTTCCCATTCCAACCGTCGCTCTTCCTCCTCATAACCTTCGTATTTCCCCTCTCACCGTCGTGATGATCAGGCCGGGAATCGTGCCGTCCCGCACACTCAGCGCCAACTTGCCGCTGCCGTACAGTCCCCACAGCAAGCAGTTGACAGTTGCCTCGTGGACGTAGATGGAAACCTGGCTGCCATCCGCCGCGATATCTACCCCGTTCAGGGGCAGCTGCGACGTCTCAAACGGACACTCCGTCATCTGGTCCACGCCCACGTCCCCAAGGCGGCGGTGCCGCTGCTGGCTCCCCCGGAGGTACCGGCGGCGGCTGGTCACCACGGCTGGCCACCCGTCGGCGCCGGCGACGGCGCCAGCAGCTGCTGCGTCTGCCGTCGGCGCCTGCGGCACCTCCACCTCTCCAAAGCCCTTCACCAGCACGAAGGCGGCGGTGTAGATGGAGTACTCGAAGGAGGCGCTGAAAGGCAGTCCGCGGACGTCCAGTCGGGTAGGGAGGGAGCCCAGCACGGCGTTGATCCGGTCAGGCACGTCGTTGTCCAGAGCGGACGCGACAATCCGCTGCACCTGCGGGTTACGGGGACGACCACGCGGATGGCTCGACGAGGATGGCTCGCACAGAGGAGGACTCATTGGCTCCCACTGGGTCGAGAGCTACGGTTTGACGCACTCAGGGCGCGGCGGCTGTTTGCTACTAATGACTTCTTGTCAAGCGCCACCTTGCATAACTGGCTGACATGCTATGGCTGAAGGCTTCAATAACTGCAATCGCCCGCCGTCCCCTTGCCCCGGCCAGGCATGTCAACCGGGCGTGGGGAGGGCCGCTGCACTCCAGGGGCTGTGTGGCAGGTGGGCCTAGTTGCCGGGCGGGCGGTAGGGCTAGGCCGCACTCATGGCTACGTCCCCTGAATAACCTCCCCGTCGCCGTCAAGCCACCCCCAGCCACCTGGCCATCAGGACATGAGCATCTAGGTGGGTGGTAGTGGGTGGGTGGGTGGACGGGTGGTAGTGGGTGGGTGGTTGTGGGTGGACGGGTGGTAGTGGGTGGGTGGTTGTTGCAGGTCCTTTCATCATCCAGTCGGGGGGACCCGTCCGTTTATGTCGTGACGTTGGTGGGGACACCAGATCATGTCGCCGCTCACCGAGTGTGTGCATGGAGAGCGCTGCGGAGCAAGACCCGACTTTCCGGTACTTCACCTCTACCTCTACCTCGTATCTCTACAGCTCGTGGAACTTTTTAGCATATAAGGACGAGAGTCCCCCCAAAGCACCCAGCTTCACTCGTTTGTGGATCCTCTTCCCCCCCCCCGCAGAGTCCGCACCCCGCACCCCGCACTGTGGTACCTGGCGCTTCACGGCCTCGTTGAATAGGGTCAGCACCGCCTGGTAGAGCCAGTCCGCGGAGTACGAATGGATCTTGATGTCCACCTGTACGGCATGTGCACGTGTACGGGAGTGGCAAAGAAAGCTTTTCTAATTCTGGCGGTAAAAACTCCGTTCCGTTTTCTATGCGCCGTTCCTTCTTGGCTTCTGTGCCATGAAGCGTTTCCGGTTGAGAGATGGTTCGGTTAATGATGACAGCAAGGAGGAGCACGCCGGGGGTTTGATTTTTAAAGTCATTTAATGCCTAGACGCACAGAGAGAGAGAGAGAGAGAGAGAGGGAGAGAGAGAAAAAGAGAGCACCCCCCAGGAGATCATCGCCCGCCCATTTAATGCCTCCTCTTTATGCACACATCTCCCCCGCCACACCCACTTTGACACCCACACCCACACAACCCACACATCGAGTCCTGCAGGCAACAACAACACCTCGGAACCCACCTAAAAGCCCCCCCCTGCAGTCGTCACGCACCGAGTCAAAGTTACTATTGGCGGTAACCACCAGGAGCTGAGGCTTCTGCAGCTGCTCGTCCTTGTGCACTTCGTACACCCAGTCGATCGTGCCACCTGCGAGGAAGCGCGTGCACGCGCGATATGATGCAGAGAGATGGTGTGGGGAGATGTGCCTGTGTGTGTGTTACGAGTCAGTTCACTGGTCAGGTCGGTTCCGTACAGACAACCTTGGCCCCGCGGCCCGGAGCACCGTTTTGAGCTAACAACATACATTAGTTTTTGTGTTCGTGTGTGCGTGTATTTCGCCAGGACGACGCAGCAGACACCAACAAACGCCGTCTCGATGGACATCACGCCCGAAACGCCCTCTTGCAGCTTGCAATGACCATTAACAAACAAACGACTTCAGCCGAACCGCAGCCGACTCTGCACTTTGTTTCGACACGTACTCCTGTGCAGATGGACATACGACTCGCTCTCCAATGAAATTAATAAATATCATTGGAAAGCGAATCGTGTACACGGTACGATGCACACGATGTGCACCCTGGTTTGGGTGTGGGTAACAGCCAGCCAGCCAGCCTAACAATCAGAAGTGTTCCACCCAACCATGAGAGACCACCGTGGATAGCTGTGCATGCAGGCTCCCATGCGCAAGAGGGCATATTCTTGATGGGTCAGTAATACATCCCGGTTCTAAAGTTCTGGGGTTCGGGAAAAAATCGCTGAACAGCCACGCGGACACTCCAACGGGCGACGCGAAAGGGTAGCAGCAAGAGGTGAGGGGGCGATGGGGTCAGCAGCAGCAGCAGCAGCAGCGGTAGCAGGGACAACATACAAAGGGGAAGGAGCGGGTGGCGGCTCACCGCTCAGCATCAGCTCGCCCTCGCCGCTGCCTGATAGCGCCCCCTTGGTCCAGTGCCATTGGAAGGTGAGGTTCGCAGCGATGTCGCTGGCGAGTAGGTGAAAAAAGCCGTCTCCCAGGATGGTGCTGCGGGCAGCAGACGGCGGTGGAAGCGCGGGTACTATGATGGGATGCGTTGGATAGGAGGGCATAAGAGTATTAAGGTAGGAAGGAAATGGCGAGGGGGGAAACACGGCGAGTCAGAAGACAATGACCGAAGAAAAGAAGATGGGGGAAGTTAGCAAAGTGCGAGAAATCTGAGAGGTATGACAAGTATACAAAGGGGGCGGTGAGGGCGGAGAGCGAGCCGGACGGCGTTGTACAAGGTCGGTTAGGGCCACGCAAAGCGTGAAAAGGACACATGTGGACAAATAAAGGACAAGCGCACAGAAGGGTTGTTGGGGGCCGCGATTCTCCGGAGGTATAGCGACGCCACAAGATGGGGTCTGCCTGTGTGAACATTTGGGTGAATTGGTTTCTTGTTGCTTCTAAGCTTTGGCATAAGCCCAGTTCATGATAATGTGGCTAGGTCGCGGACAACTCATGCATAGACAGGGGATTTCGGTCAGGCGGCGCAATTGTGGATGGGATTGCGGATAGGGGGAGAAAAGCTGAGGCATGGACAAGCAATGGTTTGCATAGCCTTCCTGTGAACATAAATTCGAGAGCAGACCCAGATGTGCCACTTACAGATTGGCACTGCTGGCGGAACATGCAAAGTCCGTGACGACGATATTAGTCAGCTGCAGGTCAAAAGAGCCGACGACGGGGATGCTAAACCGCTTTGACACGTCAGGCACGCTCTGGCCCTGCAATTTCTGGCTGAGGAACATGAAAGCTACGCCGATGGAGTAGTCAAAGAGCCTCTGCCGCGCTCCAATCTGGTGCGTCCATGGTGCGGAAGATGGGAGGGGTTGGGGCGGGGTAAAGCTTGAGAATATGCCGGTCTAAGACTCTTTCCTCCCATACCGGCAAACATTTTATTGCTGTGACACGGCTACAAAGACGAGACGTGTACCTTACCGCGATGCCCGCCGGGCTATTTTTTGAGAGCTCCAGGCTGGCTCCCGTGAGCATCGTTGAGCTGACAGCAGCTACCGATGACCTTTCATCTGTTGCGCTTATGAGAGGTTCTGAACGGAACCTATTTATTAAAGGAAAGCCTTGCACCAACGAAACATAGCCAAGCGTCAAGACCACGATGCAAAGCATCCACGTTCGCCCCGTCATTTTTGCAGGTTTGAGAGACGCGGGCGGGATACTGCAGCTTCTTTTGAAACCAATTGTACCTACTTTACAAGATGCAACATGCACTCTAGCCATGCGCAAAGTTCGAGTTCGTTGGTAGGGTTTACGTGAATATTTCCCGAATTTTCCTACTCAACGGACTGACATTCAATAAGATGTCAAGACAACGTGCGGCCTGCATAAACAGTAAATTCTCGGATATTAGTGCACCTGGAAAACGGCCGGAATCCAGACGGTTTGTACGGCTGCGAGATGTGACACAGCTATGTGCTAAGCTGAACTCGATAGATTTTGTCCATCTTTGCTCACCCGTCCCAACATCCTGTGCAACGATTTAAATTGAGCCTCTAATTTGCGCCATGTCGATGACCTTCGTCCGATTGAATGCGTACTCATTGTTCTCAGGTTAGCCGGCGTTCAGGTTTTCTCTACCCATACATCAGTAACGAGAATCTGTAAGTGACAACAGCCGGCAAACAAATATTTCTATAAAACAATACTACTACGAAATACTCCTACAAAGCAAGGATACACTTGCATAAAGATCTTCAAATTCGGCTCCCTCTGCGTGCGACTGCGTAGGCAGCCCTGAGCAGCGGGATAAGTAGCGGCATCGCAAGGCTTTAAAAGCACCAAGAAGCTGCAAGTTTCAACGGTTTCCGCGAGTTGATTAAACCAGCCAAGCACCAGGCCGTGAGTACGTACATATGGCCACGGCCGTGGCCAGAACGATGCAGCTGCGAACCAAGCCTGATTTGAATCTCAGGAACATATTTGCAAATAATTTGCAGTCCAGCAATCCATTCGCATTGCTGCGGTGCCGAACCCACGCACTCCTGAGGCTTTCTATTGCGAGGCCTCACCCGACTAGCCCATGGTCCGTTCCGCGTTGCATTGAATGCAGGGTTATGTGATGTTACAAGCTGGCTATATCGTAAGGCTCAGGCGAGCCAGGAGGCTCTAAAGCGCGAGGTCTAGCGTAATCAAGCATTCTATAATACCGTAATTCTGGGCCGAGTCGCTTATGGATGGCTAAGGTAGAGATGCTCGTCATTTCACCCCGAGATGAAATGACGAGCATTTCATCCCAAATCTATTTGAGGACTTGGTCCAAGTTTTAAAATTTACCTCTGTACAGCGTATGTAAATTATAAATATGTCTACATGGGCAGTGTTGTCAGGAAAATTTCATCTGTCAGCGTGCACGGGTAGCACAGTAACCCCTTACCCCCAGGTCGGTTTACCCCAGGTACTGGGTCGTTTGCTCGTTATGTCGATTACACTATCCCCATAAATTCACTCGGCGACACTGGGCGACAAATGCAGAGGAGCAACTGCCTCCCAGCCGGGTTGGTTCCCTGTCTGGGCCTCTCGAGATGCTGGTGTGTGTGGTTGTTACAGTGGGCTCCAGACTCCCGAAGAGTAGAGCCATCGGGCCAGCTGGCCGTGCACTGCAGTAGAGACTAATATACCAAAAGATTATCATCTCAGATAATTAACCTCTCATCGGTAACCGCTCTCGCGAACAAATCAATTTGCCAGATATAATCCTCAAAAAGGGGTGATGTGCGCCAACGGATTCCCAACCTTTTCGTGGAATTCCTAAAGCTGCGAAACCCTGAATGCGGCCCCAAAAATCAACAATAACTCGACAAATTGCTTCTTCCGTAAGGGAAGGACCAGGTAACAGTGCCGGGTTGGTTTTCATGTTTGCAGCCATATAACGTCTCCCATGCTCCATGGCTGACACCGCAGCAAGAGCCACAACATCCCAAACACATTGTTGCACTGATTGTGGGGCTTGGATAAGCCAAAGTTGCTCCCTTGAGACTGGCAATCCTATTGAAAGAGTAAGTTGGTCTGCTATTGCCTGTGCCACCGGACAGGCCCAGAAATGATGATAGCGAGGGGATACACCTCCCACTGAACCTATTGGATAACCTCCACAACCACATATCGTTGGGCGCGACATCCTAAGATGGGAATTTCCTAACATAGGCACCCCATCAACCGCAAGACGCCACCAAATCTCTTTTTGTTCATTTTCCCACCGTAAATGAAACCATAAACGATGGAATGTCCGTTGCAAAAGAAAAATAGCTTCATCCAATATCTCAGAAGAACCCGTCGCCTCTT